AGCGGGGATCTGTTGTCTTACACATTGCTGATTTCCGCTTTCTGCCTGTTGAATCCACAGGGAAGCAGAAGCACAGCAAAGCCAGCAGCCGGAAAGCCAAGTCCCCTAACCTTGGTCAGGCCTACGCTGGAGGCGAGCGTCCGTCTTCTGTGTCCTCCGTCCACTCAGAGGGAGATTATCACAGACAAGCCCAACCCCAGTGGGGCTGGGACGATCGACCTTCGTCCACAGGTGAGCTGCCCTGCCTCTGCTCTGAAAATTCATGAAAAACTGGCTCCTGATGCTAGCTTATGCAAATATTCCAAAATGTTCTCTTTGCCCAGGATCCATGCAGTTTCCTTACAACCCGCTGACCATGCGCATACTGAGCAGCACGCCACCCACCTCCATGGCTTCCCCCTCCATGCAGCAGCAGCAGCAGCATCAACAGCAGCATCAACATCAACAACAACTGCAGCACCACCAGCAGCAGCAGCAGCAGCAACAACAACAGCTGCAGCCGCCTCCAGCTGGAGCCCCGGTGGCCCAGCAGCGTGTGTGGTCTTTGCTGTCGGAGCAATACGAGACCCTGTCTGACAGCGACGACTGAGCCCTCAATACAGCCCCAAAAACCAGAAGAAAGGCCTGTGTCAAGGTCTACCCCCCCCCCCCCCCCCCCAAACCCTCTACCATCTCTCCCAGAACTATCTTTGATGGTGACTGTGTCCTTTTTTTTATTTTTGGTGCTATGGTGCCCACTGGCTGTTAGATGAGAGTTCAAGCAACATTCTCGGACAGGGAGGGGGGGGGGCTCTCCAGAGCAAAACTGGCTTTGTTCTGAAGGCACACCCAGCCTGTAATAAACGAGATTTGACTAAGGGGATACCCTGAGCTAAGGCGGGTGAGCTATAGTAAAGAGGAGGAGCTTAAAATGAGAGACTATTTCCTAATTTTGGAGATTTCTGTAAAGATGTACCATGTCTTTAAGAAAACCATTGTATGTAAATAGAGTAACCTTTTGCAGTGTTTTCTTAACTTGAAGATTTCTTATTTTAATGTTGCTTTTAAATTGATCCACTTTAATTGGGAAGAATGAGGGTGTAAACTTGAGTATCAAAGTTGGTCTCTCCCAGTCCACCCCAACTCCACAACCTGACAGCCACTCTAATATTTTTACCATAGCGACGCCAAGAGAGATCGGACACTTGGTTTGTCCTTGACCACGAGTGGAGCACAGAGCTACTGTGCCATCTCTGCGCCACCAGAGCGTGAACGTTCGAGGATGTAAACAAAACACAGACTGGCATTTCAAACAGCAACGATATTCGATGACCATCTGCGTCACGCAGAGTGGAGATGATGCATGGGTTGTAACGATCAGATGGTCGCGGTAACTTCTCGGGCCGTTCTAGACGGAGACGGGTCTTCAAAACAAGTTGAGAACACTGGTGTCATAGCAGAAAGATGAAAAGTCTGATATAAGCTTAATCTTACCGGAAAATATATTCTAATTTCTACTTCTGAACCCGGCTGAATAATGAAAGTGAGCCAATGTTTTTTTTCTTTTCAATAGAGCTGTCCATGGTGTGTCACATGTCTCTGCAGTTTCCAACCTGTCCACAATGATCTGCTCTGCAATGTTGTCGTGGTGAAATAAAATAGTAAGTCAGGTTTTGCTACGCCTTGTGACTTGAGAAAGAAGGCAGCTTTAACTAATTTTCTCAGAGATATACGTTTGTGTTTGCTGTATGTATTTGTTTCTGTAGTCTTTTGTTACCTTTTTTTCTTTTTGATACTGTCCTGTTAAAAATCTGAACTCTGTACGTTTTTGTTTTTTTCATCACACAAAAAAAACAACTAACCAAACATAAAGAATGGTCTGCACCATTGTTGCACTTTTTTTGCTTTGTAGCTTGCGACAAAAGAAGCATACTACCTGCTGTGTAACTTATTCAACCTCCAGCATAGGAGTATACTGAGCTGTGCTTGAACTTTCCAACACTCACAGAAATCTGGATGTCTTGACATCCTGTTTTTTCTTGTACCTGGTACATGATTCTGTAGCGTTGACACTTGCATCATAGTTATCAATTTTAAGTGTATGGTACTGTTAAATGTTTGAGTTTCCTGCCATGTCATACAGCGCTGAATATGAATTATAGGTCAACTTCATAAATGGTAGTAATGTTCCTTTGAAAGTATGTGAAGAAAATACCACACTTTGGCTTTCAGCTTTCACATTTCTCAGATAACAAACCGTTCTGCTTTAAACTAGATATTTTTTTCATTTTGCATCATTGTTATAGCGCATTGTTTTAGATTTTAAATTTTCTGTCATTTTCAACATCTTTGGTATTAATCCTGTTTACACCGGATGGTATGTGTTTACAAAGGTAATGACAAAAAAGTTTACAAACTTGAATCTTAAGGAAATCTGACATGAAGCCGAAAAAGAATTGGAGCAACTTTTCAGCTCTCTATCAAACACACGGTGGTGACTTTTTTGTTGTTTCTTTTTGCAATTGAGGCTTGAAAACCCGTGTATCCTGATGTTGAAATGCAATGTTTGTATCGCACAATGTCTCTTAGTAGGCTATTACAAGAGTTCAGACCAATCAAATAAAGTGGATCAGTTCTCCACCACTGAAAAGAGAGGTTCTTAAGGTTCAGGTTCTTTACTAAACGTTTTCAAGTTAATTAATTTCATATGAAAAGACAACATTTGAAATAGATCAGCTATTTATAAGTTAAAGACTTCGACTGGACAGTATTTCCCCAGTATTGAAACCGTTTTTTACACCTGTCTGCTGCTGGCAGGTTATCCTTTCACTCCACATATTTTAAACCTGAGCCAAGTGAAAAATCTGCTTTTGAGCTACATGGGTTCACTTTGCATTACGTCATGTGCCTTAGCGCTAAATGAAGATGATGGTGGGGATTTTCTTTGAATCGCAGTGTGTTGCAGAATGCTACTGCTTAGTCGATGGAGTGTCCTACTAGTCTTTTTGTCTGAGACTGACTGGCAGAGTGCAAGATGGGGGACATCGTTATACCTGGCTCAAAGGATGTGTTAGAATGCTTTCCATTTCGGTGAGCCAGTGCCGTACCTCGACTTGTATGGATGTTTCGCAGCAGCAGGTAAAAGCAAAATTGGTTTTCGGCAAGCAAAATGCCTTTTATGAGCCCTGTTTCTGCCGAGTTTGTGTTCTGACACCTGCATTCTTCTGCTTTAGTTCAACAGATGTCGAGAAGAGTCTATACAAGATACTCAGCAACAAAGTATTGGTATGTTTTGTTATTGTCATTAGCTTATAATGATTGGCCTTCTAGGGCAACATAAGTGCATTAAAACATTTACTCAAACCAAGTAAGGCTTGACATTTACATTTTTTTACGTGGTGCAATATATTTTTTTTCTAACTTGATATCTATCAGTTTGGATTGTTTTATACACTCCTGCATAAGGAGATTTGTTTTAGGTAGAAATGTGATACACTCAATCCTCTCGTTTAGTATTTAAACATATTGCATTAATTATACGAAGAAATTGACTATGGTAATCAGTTGAAAGCAAATTTATTTTTAAAAACTTAATAGAACAGGGTCAGTGTAGAATTACCAATATATGAATTGGATCACAGAACATTAATTAAACATACAATGGTCTGAAATATTATGGTATAAGCCTCTTCAATCTCATCCCTGCACAGGCTCAAAAGTAACGTCTTACCTAGTACTTAAAGTCCGAAATCAACAATTATATATTTTTATTTTCTGAATTATCTACGTTAATGTAGTTTAGGAACATAAAATCAAAGGTTATAAGGGGTCAAAATTGTTTCAACAGTTTCCCCTGTCATCTAACAGTGAAGGGACAAAAGTACATTTTAATCATAATTACTTGTGTTTTGGTGCCAAAACTATTTGTAATGTAATACATTTGATATTAATTATACTAGTACAAAATGTACATGGCAAGTGACCACAAACTATGTTTGATATGCTAAAGAACTTCCAATTCATGTTCATGTTCATGACTTGTATGGGCTTCTAGACTTGAGCTGAACATTCAACCAGAAAACTATTGTTGTGCCTCAATGACTGTCTATGTACCACAATAAAGCCTAATTAATAGACCTGTGTTTAAGATTTGACCGAGGTAGAGTGACATTTTGATTACAATGGTATTCAACCAATTCTTAACTGAAACCCAACCTATATTCTTAACAATTATATTCTTAAGAGCACTTAATGATTTATGTTCAACAAAAAATGGCAAGATTAGTTAGGGAGACATATTTTTCATTATTCAAAGCCTCCCACACACGTTCATCAAACACAAAAGTGCCTAAACTGTAGCATTTTGAAGCAATATGATGGATGACAACCTCCTCTTACTTTTTGAAACCATTATAAAGCTATTGTAGTGTGATGTAATACAACAGCCCTGAGTTAATGTTCTCCTCAGTAACGTTTTATGGGTTTCATACATCGTATATGAATACAAATTAAATGTACACCTGTCAGTAAAGTTCTGCAGCAACACAATCTAGTGCTCCATAATATAACGTTATATACCATTTTTATTAAAAAAACAAAACGAAACAAGCTTGATAGTAAAATACTTAACAGTCAAGAACTGTATTATTCTCCTACTTGATTCTCCTGGGAACACAAGCCTGCCGTATTGAGAAAGGACGTCTATGCAGCGGGGTATACAGCGTTACAGCTCCTTCTACCGTCGGGGACTTTGAAAAGGAACGAACTCTGTTTGTTTTTTTTGCGTGAGAAACTGAATGTGTGCGTGTGAAAACATGCAAACGCGTCACGGCAAAACCGTGAGAGTTGGCAGCTCTGTACGGAATATTATGAAATGACAAAGTCTGTTTTACAAAAATAATGCAGGTGGTTTCGTACAGTAGCTGTTAAAAGCTGTTTAAATAATATCCACATTTTCCCTTCACGTCAGTTTATTTTGGAGGGAAATAAAAAGTTCAAACCGGAAGTCGTAATGTTGTGGTCTGCCCCCATTGGCCACTGAAGTCCGTGGCATCCGGAAACGAACCGGCGTTAAAAATGCGTTCGTTTTTACCTGCAGTGGCCGAACAGCTTTTTCGAGATATTCAAAAGACACACCAGGAAACTTCCCAAAGTAAGTCACGGGTTGTGAATCAGATACACGTAAAAGGGGAGCTGCAGCTGCAAGTAGCTGCAACATTAACCATTAAGCGCTAATAGAGCCGCACGTGACTCAAACCCAGTCAAATATAACGTTACGTTCGGTATAACAAACGTGTATTTCCCCCTTTCATTCAAATCCAGTTGTCTTTAATTATAGCATTTGTTGATTCACTTTATCTGCGTTCAGCGGTTTACTTCGATGTAGTTCATTATTTGGACTGTGGGTGGCGCTGCCGTCTTACATTTCTACACAAATTCTTCTCTCCATCCAGCAGGCTTCTGTCTGCACACCGACACAGAGCTTCACATGTACCTTTCACTCCACACACGTAGAAGGGACCGTACTGTGTAATTGAGGACATCATTTAGGTGGTCACTTCCAGGGTCCCAGAATGAGACATTTTTGAGAGCAGACATATTAACTTGTCAAACCTCAATAGGCAGTAATAATAACAACAGCTCTGTTATTTTTATGTGTCCCCCGTTATGCATGGCGCCAAAGCAGTTAAATCAGCTTTTATTAGTAAAAGTATTGTTTGCACCAAGCTCTCAAATAGGCAGATAACATTGCAGTTCTTGAACATTAATTACATAAAACAATCCGCTATTATTGACATGCCATAAAATATGCAAATGTAATTCTGTCAAAAACCTAAAACAAGGTTTTGTGTATATTGTCCATAAAGGATAACCTCATGCCAAGCAACAAATCCAAATATTGCTTGGTATGCCAGTGTTAGTTGGCCACGCTTAATCTTCCAAACTGAAGCGCACCGAAGCTTTGACTTTGAGAAAAGCTGGTTGTGCACCGAGGGATTTACCAATATTGGAGGTTTAAATAGTCAACGCAAGGCCATCTCAGCAATTGTTCTTTTTTTTTTTTTACACAAATGAAAGATCGCTCACTTGGAGTGGATAGAAACATAATCAAAACCTTTACCAAAAAGTGGAATTACCACAATGTAAAAGTCTTACAGAACGTAAACCTGATTTAAATTTGCACACTTTATATTAAAGGAGTCAATATAACAATGCATCACAAAACCAAAGCACTAAGCATTCATGTCTGGGCAAAATTCTCCAGTGGCTAATTAACATTTATTAACAAGCAAAGTCAAACATGTAATCAAGAAGTAAAATGTTTGTCTTTGTATCTGAATATAGTATATTTACCTCAACATCAAAACAAAGCAGGGTTCTGATAAGAGGTCAATTGTGTTTCATGTCTTCTAAACCAATATTAATTAGATTAAATTGTTGAGATTTTTTAGTTGTATCAAAACAAATACTCTGTTCTGTTTCATTGCAGTTCCTGATGACCTGCTTATTGCGTGAGTATCAATCTTGTTTGTTCCATTACTACCCATTGACTTACATCACTGATATTTATCAATAATTCTGCAAACATCAATTACACTGAGTGCAGAAACCACTACTCGGAGGAAAAAGGGAGAAATATTTTACTGCCTGGATTTACCAAAGTGACGTAGCACTGGGACACAAAGTCACAATGCTGCGCTGTGTCTTTACCGAGACATTTCCTGGCATTGTTGTTTGACTTTCTGCAAGTGAAGGGATGCTCACTGTCTAGTCGACACATCCTGTCCGTCTGTCTGTCAGGAAGCCTCTACTTCAGGGGCTCTTCATCACACTCTGTGGGTATTTACAACCAGACATCGATCTGTTTTCATTCATTTCCTGGTTTCTCTCTTTGCCTCGGTGGAAAAAAGTAACTTCGAAAACTAGAAAAAAATGAATTATTGCAAAAATAAAGTCTGATCTAATGAGTTTTTCTGCTTATTGCTTTCAATGTCATTATTATAAACGTGCATGGTATTTCTCATCCTTTTGCCGTAATATTCTTTTATATATATAGATAAAGACCATATAAGACCCCCGGCCACTTAATTAGTTAAACCTGTTCAATTGCCTGTCAACACCAATGGCTAGTCTGCCATTCACATGGCCGCAACTCAACGCATTTAGGCATGTAGACGTGGTCAAGACAACTTGCTGAAGTTCAAAAAGAGCATCAGAATGGGGAGCAAAGGGGATTTAAGTGACTTTGAACGTGGTGTGGTTGTTGGTACCAGACGGGCTGAGTGCGTCACAAAAGATGGTTGTGATTCTCACTCACAACCATCTCTAGGGTTTACAGGGAACGGGCCAAAATATCAGATCTTGAAGAAGATGGGCTACAGCAGCAGAAGACCACACCAAAATTGGACAATAGAAGATTTTAAATACATTGCCTGGTCTGATGAGTCTTGATTTCAGCTGCAAAATTCAGATGGTAGGGTCAGAATTTGGCATGAACATGAAAGCGTGGATCTGCCGTGTATCAAGGGTGGTGGTGGTGGTGGTGGTGGTGGTGGTGGTGGTGGTGTAATGGTGTGGAGGCCCTTAGTACCAATTGAGCATGTTTTAAATGCCACAGCCTTCCAGAGTACTGTCACTGACCCTTTGTGGCCACAGTGTACCATCTTTTGATGGCTACTTCCAGCAGGATGATGCACCATGTCACAAAGCTCATATCACCTCAAACTGGTTTCTTGAACATGACCATGAGTTCACTGTACTGCACAATCTCATAGAGCGCCTCTGGGATGTGCTGGAACGGCAGATTCTCATCATAGATGTGCAGCTGACAAATCTGCAGCAACTGCGTAATGGTGTCATGTCAACACGGACCAAAATCTCTGAGGAATGTTTCCAACAACTTGTTGAAAGTAACCACGAAGAATTAAGGCAGTTCTGAAGGGAAAGGGGGTCCAGTCATAGTGTGATCTACACAGGTGTAGTTATAGTAAACGTTTGACACTGGCAGAACAATTATTAAAACTGTTTTCTTTTTTCTTTTTGATATTTTTCATTGGATGCATAATGTTCATGTTTAGATCTTTTAAACAGAGCTAACAACAACTCTCTTCTGTGTTTTCCTCTCTCAGGCTGAAGTTTGTTTTTGGGTCGTGTGCGCTGCAGGCTTTGGACCTTGTTGACCATCATTCAGTCACCTGTCTGTCTTCGCCCAGTGGACGCAAAGCATTCCAGGTATGTCATGCTGTCCATAAAACTAATTGATTGCATTTTAACATTCTTTTCTGACTCCGGGTAACTCAGGGTTATTTATTTTGTGTTTTTCAAAAGTGAAATAGTTCTACGCAATAGTGTAGTGTTTATTTCCGTTGATCTTTTGGCCCCTTAGAGATGGATACTGATGTACTTTAGTGTCTCAAACTCACGGAAGAAAAGAGTAAGACCTTTTTATTGTGATTTAAATTATAATATATCAATGCAAACATATAATTACAAACCTGAAACAATGTCGACTGACTGAGTGTTTGCCATAGATGTGATTGGGCTCCTTGATTCTTGAAACAGAATCTCAGTGGGAAGTGGACAGACTTGTTTTTGGAGAAACAAGGCAGCCCACCACACTGAGGTTGTGGTCATTGTGACCCAAATTTCCTGTAAACTCCTTCAGCCTACAAAAAATGGTTTTCTGAAAGGAAAGAACAATGCAGCTAAATAAAGACATCTGTTGACATTTTCCACTTCATTTCCCTCAAGGTTATCTGGTGTCACAAACCCTTTTCAACTTTTGTTCTTTTAGGGAGAACGAGAAGAGAAAGTTTTCACCATACAAATAGATTTATAATTTGTATGTCGGAGAAAACATAGTGCCATAGAATAAAAAAATGTATCACTGAATTGAGAGGGTAATTGGAGCCTTCGTCGGTCCATTTCCTCATTGCAGCACTGATTCACGGCATTAGATTGTTGAGAACAAACAACACATTGGATGCAGTGTCTCGCAGACTGCAGTGAGCAGTGGGAGTCTTGTGTGTGGGAACATGTGGGTGGTTCACATGTTTTCTCTGATCCGTCGCTGCGCTGTTCCACGCACACCGGTTTGAAACAAAAAAGCCGCTGGAAAAATCAAGCCAGCCTCTGTTGAAAGAATCTTCCTAACGACACTTTAATGCCAACTAGTTACTACAGGCTTCTCTTTTGAGCACATCGTTTTTGATGTCAGCCGTCTGCTCGGACGGCGTCTTCTAAAGGCATGACAGAAATGTTTAGCCTACTCTCGTTTTTAACATGACATCGAGTGCTTCATTAAGCATCTGTTGAAAACAGTCCGTGCTCTTCTCATGCTTCTCATCTGGAACCAGAAGGTGGATGGCACGGCACAAGGCCCCAGCTAATGTAACCAGACTTTCAAGATATAAAAGTTGGAGGAAAGGAGGTGAAGGTCAGCCCGTATGTTCTTCCCTCTGGGTGGACCATATTTGGGCAGCATGGGACAGTTGGAAGGACGTTGTTGAACTTCTTGAAGAGAGTGAAAGCAGTAATGACATTTTGGGAAGCATTGACTCACTTAGAAGATGGAGCCCCACCGCGGTTAGCCTGTCAAGGGTAGTTACGAGTTTCCTGTGTGAGGAACGTTTTCTCATACGCTTTCCCGAAAAAATATAAATGTATACTTAGACAATGCTGAGTGTTGAGTTTACTGGAAGTACTGTGACGCGCGTGCGAACTGTGTCAGTGATGCCAAATTAGTTGAAGTTTACAAATGTTGCCCTTTCCCGGTTAATATTATTTTAGCCTGAAGACTGACTGAGTAATGAAGCACAACCCGTCTGTGTATGACGGGGTTTGCTCTTTCAAGTGTTAATTACATGGACCGTTTTGATAACTGATTAATCACTAACAAGATTAGAGCTGTAATGCCAAACATGTTCAGGTTCCAGCTTCATCACATTTGAGGAATTAGCTCATGTTTTTCCTCTATAACTGGAAATAGAAAATGTCTGGGCTTTGGACTGTAGGCTGATCAAAACAAGCAGTTTGACATTATATTCTAGAATAATTAACCAAATTAACCAATAAAGTTGTGGGCTACAATAAAAGATATCTGTGAGACATGTCTGATTAGTCCGTGGGCAACGGAGCAAAAGTGGCCTCGTAAGTTGTGATGACGCTTTGTAAACACGGGTGGCTGGCTGTGAGGAGAGGCATCTAAACATCCTCCGTCGGCCAAGGACTTCATGCAGTATGCTGCACAGACACAAAGATTCCCCAGCTCAACGAGTTCCCGGAGCCTTACATTTCCCTGACGTCGTGTTTGTGGCTTGGAAGCAGTGGATGGAGGGCCGTCCAAAGTCCGGGTCCTCTGGCTGCTTCCCCCGTGAGAGCCGCTGCTGAGACGGAGCCGGAGCTCTGCTGTGGCTTTAACCCTGCGGCGACTGAATGGAACCTCTAGATGTACAGCGTCACTCTTGATTACTGTGCTGCGCTGACGATGTTTGCTGACGACTTTGCGGTGTGAGCTGGCACAGAGTCACACAATCAATGATGACCGCGTACGACGAAGAGGCCCAAGTGTGAGCTGGTTTTAAACGAACTTGACTCTTCAGAACCCGCAGGGGTCCTCGGCTTGGAACCCACAGTTGTGCTTTCTCTCATCCTCATCTCGCTGTGCAATGGCGCTTTATTCATCTGCACTCAGGTGCTTTAGGTCCATGCGATCGTCTCCGATGTGTCTTATTTATAATGAAGTGTCACGTTGAAGAAATGGGACGTGTTTGCTTGTGTAGGTCACGGGGAAAGGTAATTTATCGATGCTCCGGAGAATAATGGAGTCTGCTGTGCTACCTTGGGAGGCATTAGTTATTGTGAAGTGTCAAGCTAATCCGCCGACTTCGTGTCCTCATGGGCGTGACGACAGGACTTAAATCACTGTCTCTAGCTGCGCAGATGCAGCGGCAGCATCCTGGACGGAACTTTCTGTCAGCTGAGGCCATTAGACGACACATACGAGCTGTTTAAATATGCATCGTTTCCTCCAGGTAACTAATGTAAAACGACGACGATGATGATGGTGGGGGCAAACATCACCTTCAACCCAACCATCAGTCGGCCACTTCTTCGACAGATGCAGAAGCAGAGTCCACCCTGAAGCAGGGTTGAAGTAGGAATGTTACTGTGATTTTGGACTGTGAAGTCGGTCAAAAAGGGGGAGTTGCTGCATGGAGACTTGGATGTGTGACGTCGACAGGTGATGTGACTCTGTGACTGACTGCTGAGCTGTGATTTAGAAGACGTGCCTTTTTGTGCATTATGTTGATTCTCAAAAGTAAAAAGAACACAATTACACAGGATGTCCCTGCAGTGAGAACTAAAAAAACAAAAAACATCAGCTCTCTCAATCACATCAAAGAGTTTTGGGGGATGATGTGACTTCCAATCAATAAGCGGTCGGCAAAACAACTCTGTTTACAATTCTGTTATCACGACTGATTGGGGACTGGTTAGAAGAGATGCCTTTACCACAGTTAAATACCAGGACTGTTGTGTGTACTTGCGTGTTAACAGGGTGAGTTCATACATGAAGCAGCTGCAGGACTCGTCACTGGACGACATCATCGCTAGTCTCGACTGATGATGATTTGTGACGATCTTTAAGGTTTGTGTAGGGGGATGGAGAAAAATAGACAAGGAATTGGCCCAAGTTAAATGTTCAGTAGAGGTTTCCTCTGAGGACCTTCGGCCAGCCGGTCTTGTCTGGACCAGTTTGGGGAACATCTGGGGTCCAGGAAGAGCTTGTTTTCCTTCGGGCCTTCAGTGCTCCTCAGCTCCATTACGCACGAGCGGCAGTACAAATAGGATTTTGATTCTTCCTGACTGGCGACCATCTTCCCACTTGTCTCTTTTTCTAATGAGGTCGATGCACAAACGTGTTGCCACATATTTAAATGTACTTTGCATGATCTGTTGCAGGTAATCGGAGGCTCGGGGCGTTTGTACACTTGCTTTGCGTCCTGTCACTACTGCCCGTGCCCGGCCTTCGCCTACAGCGTGCTGCGCAGGAACGACGGCCTGCTGGTGAGTCTCAAACGTCTACACTCACAGGCGAAGGCTGGCACTTGATGCTTGTTCAGATTTTGATTCTACTTCCAGTATACTTTGATCATTTTACAACATTTTTTAAACCTAGTATTGTTTCTGTATTTAGTATTTTGTAGACATACATGTTTCAAAGTTAGTAATCACAAAATGTGATCATGACATATCTGTCCATAATGCTTTAATGGTTGTTGAAATAATTCAGATTTTTCATAGTTTTCTCAATATTATATATAAAAAGAAAGTAGAAGTAGAAAGAATGTATGTGACTTTTTCATGCACAAAAACTACTCAAAGTTTTTTTTTGTACTTGATGGCAGATGACCTGCCACTATTTTACACTCATGCTCAACCTCAATATTCCATTAACAACGTCCTCCCCAATTAGCAACAAGGCCTGAGACAGAAGCGGACGAAACGTTTAGTGGATCTTTATAAAAAAAGACCCTCTTGGAAGCACACGATGTGTACAGCAGCATGATCACACAGAATACATGAAAGCCATTGTGAGAAATCTTTCAAAAGTAAGACAAAGCAAACCACGGAATGTGTTGTGGTCAGGTTGTGTTCGTGGTCACTATAGGCGGTCTCCCCTCTCTCTGACTTGCTGTTGCTCAAAATATCTGTTAGGAAACCGCCTCCGTTCCTGCTCCGAGTATCGAGGAAACTCGGCTCCCTGGAGGATGCTGCTCAGATCAGTGTGAGAAACGGAGAGCTGTAACGGACCGTGGAGACTCCCCACGAGCACGTCATTCCCCATGAAAAGACAGAAATAAAACCGCTCACCCCCTCAACCAACACGTATAGCCCGTTGGATAAAGTTAGACTCCATAGTATGTAGTTGGTGCAAAATAAGGCTCTGTGTTTCAACATAACTTCTCCAGTCATGAAGTACTCTGGAGTCGCAGTCCTCTCCCGCTGGAGCCGCTCTCTAGATTCCAACATGACTGGATAAGACCAAACAAGGTCCACGCTGCGCTGACGAGTGGGCCACAGGACAGATAAAGCAGCTCTCCCAGCGACAGCAGACAGCCAGGCGCTAATGAGCTAAGAAGCTGGTAAACAAACGACTGTACCTTTTGTCCTGTTCACCAGCCTTTGGCTCTTTATGTAAACATCTAAGCCGCAGGCGGGGGAGTGTGGAGGAAATCTCTTTAATAGGCTGAGATCATGATTACCACGTTAATAGGATGAGTCCAGTGACGAATGTACACAGATGCAGCAACTGTCATTAAACCTGTATTTAACGTCACCAGTTACGTCTTGTTCATCACACAAAGGGCCCCTCAGGACAAAAACACAGACAATAATACTCTCTCAATCACTGCATTTTTCTTGTTTGGAAATTTTTATAATTTTATGTAAATATCAGAAAGTTGTTTTGCATTCGCTTTGTGACTAATATTCTTGGATTGAAATTTACTCAGGGGGTAAATTTCCAGCAGGTCCTCCGTGTTCTGCTGTTTGCAGGAGATATTTTAATTTACATTATTGAAGCGTTGTTCCTGGCTTCATGTTTGTGCCGTCGACCTCATCGCCCACGTCCCTGTACTGAGTCAGTGTCTGCGCGCCTTTCCTCACAGTGCAAACACCTCCTGGCCATCTACCTGTGTGAGGCCGTAGGTGGGACTCTGCAGGAGAGCGTGTCCGACCAGCAGATGTCCGCGCTGCTCAGCGGGACAGCAGCCCCGTGACCCCCCAGGTACGTGCAGCGCGGCAGGCGCGCTGACGCGTCGTCCTGGGACCTATGGATGAGTTTTCTGCTCCTTCGTTTTTGTCCCTCTGAAAGGCTCCAGATGTTGCCTTATTTATTTATCTTTTGGTAGGGATTTTAATCGGTTTCGGGGTAAACTATGCAGCTGTTCATCGAGCATGTTTGCCTTTATTTTTAGGCTCTTCAGAAACATTTACATCCTCCAATGCTTCCAATGTGTAACGTGTAAAAATAAATTGTCATATGGGTAAAAATTGAAATGAAGGAATACAGACTGATCTGTAACAATATAAACATTGCCTTTATCAACAAAATGATTCACCATACACACAGGTTGTATCATGTTAAATATCAGTATCCGCTCGCAGTTGGAGTTTTGTTGAATGAAATATAGGATGGCCTCTTGAAAGGTTGAGCTTGACCGCGGTGGATGTTTCTCCTGATTAGAATAACAACACTGGCACACTGACAGGTACTTCGGAATGAAAGGCAGGAATGTTGAACCAGATCAACATGTTTTTGTCCATCTTACCTTGAAGAATCACAAAAGGCAATAGTTTGACATTAATCAATAGCTTGTAGAAAGTTGGATACCTACGGTACATTTCTCACACAACGACAACACAACAGTACAGTGCAGTTATAGTATAGATGTCTCTGGAATGTACTAAAACTTTGGCACATTCCTGTATTTAGCCCTTGGAGGTGTTACACAACGACAAATGCAGGGCGATGGTGAATAGTGGAGGCTCACTACGTCTTAGAACACCAACACGACATGGTTCAACACCACCAGTAACGCACACTAAACAGGAACTAGTCTCAAATGTCAGTGCATGTGTTTTCATTTGCGTAGTGATGGTTCCGGGGTAACCCTCGTTTTTTTTTTTTACTGGTTATTCTCTAAACAGAACTCTGCTCGTTTGTTATATTAATCACCATATCCAGATTTCTTACGTTCCATAAGCACAACTGGACCGTTCACGATAATGCTAACCCCTGCCACCACACAAAAATAAATAACACAAATACAAAGACAGCGCACAGGTGCTTTAAGTTTTGTGTTGCCTCAAACAACGAATAAGTGTAACGATTAAAGTGGATTGAGTCCTCAGTGCAACATATTTTAGAGGTTTCACCGTTTAAACCGCTCATCTGAGTCGGTGCCTTTTAACGGTTTGTTGGAGGACTCACTGCCAACAGGGCAGATGAGAGCTTCAGGTTCCCAGCTGTGTGAGGGGGGGGGTTTCATTGTAAATAGTGCTTTAAGCGGTGTAAGCCACAAGGTACATCAGTGCCAGAAGCATGGGCGATGAGGAAAAACATGAATTGCATTGATTTAAAGTGTCAAATTGGACATTTTATGGCTCAGAGCAAAACGTCTCTGCAGATGCCACATTTTTAGAAAGGGTACAATCATTTTCTCACTTCCTGAGCTTGTCTGAAGAAATGTCAACATATACATTATATATGGAGCACTGCCGCAGGTATGTTTAACCACTTCTGTCTGGGTCTACACGACTGAATCAGATCATGCTTGTTTTATGTATGAGAGTCCCTGTGATCGTCGATCCTCTCTGGACGACCTTCTCCCTCGGGCGTAACATTTGTTTCGTTGTGGAGCGTTTACTAGCAGCAGGACAATACGGGCACTTAGTTGAAGCAACAGCTCAATAGCATCTCTGCGATCAAAGAAAGTATTGGTACAAAAAATATGTTTTTAGATGAATCTGGTGATGATCACGAGTAGGAATTCACGTAAGTGAGGCTAAAAGAACTACTGGGTGCCTCTCAAGGTCCACAAGCACAGTCCAAGCCACACAAGGTTTTTGATCTTTAGATAAATTAATAAACACTGACAATATAAAATAGCAGGTGAAAATGAGTGTAAAGAGTTTAGTCAGAGTGGATTTAAAATGTTTGGATTCTGTTCACAGTCCAGCAAATCCAGCTAGCTTCAATGTGATTAAAAAAACGAAAAACAAATCCTTCACAAGACAAAGGGTTATGTAAGACTCGCCATTCAACATTGCACTGCCTGACCCGATTCATAAATAAATGTCCACATTCAAGGCGCGCCTGACATCGGTTCTTCACACATTACCCTTGTTCTGTAAACATATAAACCTCAGTGGAAATGAAAGTCAAGGCTGAAACACTGAGTCGACAAAGATGGACCCCCCCCCCACCCGTCTTTATAGCAGAGGGTCGATGGTCATGTGGATCTGGTCTCTGTTGTGTCTGCTGCCGTTAGAGCTGAGGTACAGCTCCTCCCTGCGGCAGAGGAAGTGCTGGGCCAGGATCTTTCGGAAGGTGTTCCTGAAGTCCTGGATGCGGTAAGCGTAGATGATGGGGTTGACCGCGGAGTTGGCGTGAGACAGAATGATGGCCACGTACATGACGACGTTGTCCTTCGGCAGCTCCTTGTAAAACAGCGTGAGGCAGTTGAGGATGTGCACGGGCAGCCAGCAGACGGCGAACAGTCCCACGATGATGGAGAGCGATTTGGCGGCCCGGATCTCCTTCTGCAGCAGCCCGTGGTGCGGGCTGTCCCCGTTGCCCACGCACTTGAGCTCGATCTGCCTCAGCTGCTTTCTGGCCACAGTGAAGATCTTCATGTAAATGCCCAGCATGATGAGGAGCGGCAGCAGCACGCACACAAAGAAATTAAAGTAGACCATGTAGCGCATGTCCACCACACTCTCAAAGAAGCACTGGAGCTTGCAGCTCTGTAGCAAGTCTCCTCCGCCCCTCGGCCCGTCCACGGGGCCGCCGTTGGTGGCGTTGTCAGAGATGCTGTTCCCGCAGCCCGTGGACTTTAAGTTCCAGCCAAAGAAGGGGATGAGGCCAATGACAAAGGAAAGGATCCATAAGATAGCGATGATCTCTCTGGCGGTCTTTCCCGTCATCAACTCCTTGTATCTGGAGAAAACACAGCACAGGTAACTTTCTTAATCATTTCCACAACGGTGACGTTTTGGACAAAGGTCACACTCGGCTATAAACAGATACAAATACACACATTATTCTAATGCACAATAATGGGTATGAATTAGGCCGGCTATGAATGATCAAGTGTGATGTTGAATTGCTGTGACTTGGTGCATTCAAATGTTGTAGAAAGTATATTATCTTTGCATTATTTATTATTACATTATTCATTCATTTTCTTTTACTATTTTTTTTTCTTCAAACTAAACAACAAAAGACAATACAGACACAAGCCTCCATTCTGCCGGGCATATGCAATCCAAAAATCCATCTAATAATCTATTGAGCGTTGCTAAAAACGACGACAGAAAGCTGGACAAAGATTAGCCTCAAAGTCTAAAAGCTACCGAATTCATTTTAACAATAAAGTTAGATTTACCTGAAGATGTTAACATTTAACATCCCAATAATGGGCCTGATATCAGAGCTTCAGGCTGGTGCACGAATGCACCCTCAAATAAACAAGGCCCTTTGTATTCAGTTTTTGTTTTTAATCGGTTCAACCACTTAAAATCGTATCGAATGAACCTTATATGAGTTTACCTTCATCCCAGTTCAATATCACTGTCTCATCTAGGAGGAGTCAGTGAAAACTAGATCAGAATCTGTTTATATCAAGATCATATCCGCTGATAAATGAAACAATAAACTCTGACATACAACTTCCGTTAACACACATATTGCTAAAATTAGACGTGCTTTGCTCGAGGTGTTGAGGCACTTAAAAAAAAAAAAGTCTTTCAGTTTGTCTGCTCTTGATAAACACAGATTACCCATGTTTTCCATATAGAGCTCATCTCTCACTGTAATGTATGAAATGATGAAGGTCAGGGGCACAGATGCAGCGTGTGGAGGTTTGGGGCTGACTCATCCAGTGTCGTCTTGGCTGTACTCATCATATGAACAGCGCTTGAAGCCAAAGGAGCCATTTCCTTGAAGTGAATCAGGCAGCAAACCGCAAGCTAATGATTCATCCACATGCTGACAGCCACACAACCCCCCCCCCCCCCCCCACAGACACACATACACACACGCCAGTCTGAGCTGGAGGTGCCATGGATGATCTGAAATAATCATGTGTATGTACATCTCCATGTCTCTATATATGTGTGTGTGTGTGTGTGTGTTTGTGCGTTGTTTATTCATTTATGGATAATTAAGTATGCGATAGGTTTTTGAGCGATAAGGTTCACATCTAACCATAAATCAAGGAGTCTGTCTGGGTCCGTTTGGTCGTATCCTTCACATATCCTGTGAACTGTGCAGACTCTCTGGGTCCATTGCCAGGAAATCAAGAACTTGCTGTGAACGCTTTCAATATTAATAAACTTTGAATAAGCGAGTGATAGCGGCCCGTGCAGCAAAGGGGGAGTAGGGGTGGGAGGGGGGAGGGGAGGGATTAAAGTGTGTTTATTTTATGGCCACAGGACATAAAAGAAGTCATAAAAATGTCATGTATAATATGAAAGAAATTGAACACCATATTAAAAGCCATTAAACAGTCTTAAATATGTCCAATTAGAGCATGTTATGTCTTTATATTGTGTCATTAGAAAGGTCATAGAATACAACATTATATCATAGTGCGTCATAACAATGCGGGCGGTACCTCCGGGATCTCAAAAGGGAAAAGGGTCAGCACCTCATAATGTGATAACTGAATCATTTTAATGAGAAGCCTAACCAACACAAACTACTGTATAATGCCCATGTCTATGACCTTTTAACGTATTTATCATTTGTAATAATCTGCTTTCCATCATATTCACATTATTCACATAATGACAAACAAAGTATGTTAAATATTCTTCATAATACATCAGGAAAACACAAAAAGTTGCTCTATGTCTCAGGTGCACAATTCAAACCCTTATTCGTCTGGCCTCTTAACCACAAAAGGCAAGGCCAGTGGTTTGTCCAACACTGGTCGGTACCCCGAACACAGCAACAACTACCAGCAATACAACAGCATCCATCACGTATCCATCAGGTTCTGGGCCAGAGGCTGTTTAGGAAAGGACACTACTGTCCAGCCTAATAATGCTGATGCAGCACTTTCTCTGGAACAATGGCAGGGGAAGCTGTGGAGCGGAGGAATGTACATATAAAGGGAGTCCACATGAAACGTGGTGAGCTCAATTAAAGTAATGTGAATTATTTGTGAAACAATTTACTATATTAAGAATCAAATTCATCTCTCTAAAAGTTCTCATTTGTCCGGGTCACTGGCTATTATGTCCTGAATTTTGTTAAACATCTAAAAGGCTTCATCGAATTCCAACTGATTGTCTATTTGGGTCTAGTGGACATTTTTATCAAAACCCAGTTGCTTTAAATTAATGACAAAACTTATGCCAAGTAAAAGTAGAAAGGTTCCACTGCTTTGAAAGCACAGACGACTTTTAAAAATGTATTTCACTGAATATTACCCTGCATGCATCTAATCTCATACTTTTTAAAAAATGACAAAATATCACAAGATGCATTTAGTCAGTACGCTGATCCCTAAAAATAATTCCTTTTCCTTCCATTTTCTAAAGTAACATGTTTCTATTCTAAATGCAAACTCCTGTGATGTTGTGTGCGAATGGTCCTTCAGTATAAGCTTTTTTTTTTTACATTGAGCTTCTACATTTAAAATACACATAGATATTACATTACGAGTGGCTGCATCGAGGAGCTGAAAGATCTTCTTTCTTTCATGAACTTGAATCTGACAACTCAATAACCAACTAATCTTTGTGAAGACGTTACTCCAATCACGCTGCGTTACCACGGTTACACATTGACTCCTTTAAGGGGCTGTGCCCAAGTGTCATTGTAAGTGTGAAGGGAGAACAAGACAGAGAAGTCACATATGGTGAATAATGCCCTGAGTGTCCTTGGGAAGTAGCAGGTCCTGCTCTCCTGCCTCTGTCGGTTACAACATTATATATTTTGCACTCTGCACCTCACGTTGCCACAGTGTTCAGTGGCAGAAGTGGTGTTTTAAGTTTCCTCCAACCTTGTAAATACCAGCGATGGGTGTGTTCCTTTTTACAAAACCCATGTTTTTTTCGTGCTATTTTTTTACTATGGTTTTTCACTCCACCATTTTTCAGTTTTTCCCCCCCAAAGCATTTGCACTTCAATTCCAGACGTATTACGAGTATCACGCCTGTCCTCTTTTTACAGTATAAACATGAACCGCCCCCGATTGAACTATTCTGTGTGAGTTGTTGGAGATGCAACCCCCCCGTGTTTGTTTTGCTTAGGTAGGTGCAGATAGTGTTGAGTTAGGACAGAGTTCATCCAGTGACAAAATAAGTCCCTTTTCCAAGTTTGTGACTATTAGGACAATTACGTATCTGTGTGCCACGGCTGTACGATCTACATTACAGACTCATCATTCTTTGTGGAATTTATAGATAAAATAAAATTAAGCCGTCCAACAAGAGAAGCAAGAAACTATGATGAAGCCGGGCGAAGAGGAAATGGGTGATGCAAATCCCTCGTACTCTTACAGCAGGAAGTATGTGCAACCAACGTTTGTGCTCAGTAGCACATTATTATAAAACGTGCACTGCAAGGACACTTCCCAATCACTGGCGGCCGAAATCCACCTAAAATATTAAAAAATATTATTATTATAATATGGGGACCTTACCATAACTAATATTGCCAACACTCAATTATTTATCAACGGTGAGCTACTTTGACTGTGTCCAGCGACCCCCTGCAGGGACATGGTGGGTCGCCCCGGGCTCCATGAATAATACAGCACTCAGAGGGAGGAGAGAAGGCTCCACAGCTCAGTTCCTCCCCACATCTCTGCAGCGTCTCCCCGCTTCTCTCCTTCTCCCTGTAAACGTTAATCACAAATACAGCTGGCGGCACAGGGTCCGTTTCCTAGCGGGGTCCATCTCCGGCGGCCACCCGCTCCGCCCTCGCGCCCTCTTTCTGTTTGGACACAGGCGGCGAGCGGCTGGATTAGTTCTGGCATGAGAACAGCACGCTGGCAGCTAACTTGCTTTCTTCCCCTGATCCGTTCTCCATACATCCCCTTTTCTCTCAGCTGCTGTGCTTCCGCACAGGGACAGGGACAGGGACACACACACACACACACACACACACACACACCTTAAATGTGCGACAGTGTCCTGCTTCAAACGCAATCTAACAGGTGGCCCTTCACACAGGCGGGGTGGGGTGTGTGGGGGGGTTACTTAGGGTGTGTATGCAAACAGTCGTTCAGCATTTGCATTATGAATTGTATTTGTGAGCATGGCTCTAAAAAACAAGTTGTATAACAAAGGTAAAGTCACATTAATAAAGCCATGTTTTTGAAATCACTTGAAAGTCACTTTAGGATGTGTGTAGTTTTGACTACATTTCTGTGACAAGTTTATTTAACCGTCAAGCTCAACAACTACAGCATATTTCCACCAGCGTCTCGTATTCCTGTGAGCCCATCAGCAGAACCAGATTGTTTTTTTAACTCTTTTTTTTTTTTTTTTGCATTATTTGTGAGAGACTACCGCAGGATGTACATCTAGGATGACATGTCTATTCAAACGATGCTTCCCACTTACCACCCCGAGGCAGTGCTACTAGTGTTTGCGTTGGAGTGGAAAACCTTTTGAGGCCTCTAATGTGCTAAAGGTTATTCTAAAGAACAGAGGGACAAAATAGCTCGAGCGTATTTTTCTGGGGACGGCAAACAATGAAGACAGGGGCTTGAAAAAAAAAAGAAAAGGCGTCTGGTGGGCGTGCGCCTCGGTCATCTCAAGGGGTTAAAAACATCTGGCTTTGGCCTTTTACTTCCACTAAAACCATCTGTGAAAACACTTTCACCCGAGCGCCCTAAAGGCCTGCAGACCGGCCAAACTCACACGCAGCCGCCACATCCATGTGCACATGTAGCCTGCGGTGGATATAAAAACTGCTCTCATTGTCACATGTGTGTCGTGATGCTGCGACTCCAGATGAAACTATGAAACGGGACGTGGTGATTTTACAAGCCACTTAAATCCCAGACTGGTGACAAGCTGTCCTTTCCTGCCAGCGTTTGAGCCTAATGGAAATGACGGCACAGACAGCCCCCGGAAACACATTCAGTGCCCACGACAGTCACTGCAGAGAGTGACTGAAAAAAAACGGACAACTCTCGGACGCGGTAAAAGGCCCAAAAACAACAACTCTGAGAGACCGAGAGCTGCGGTCTGATTACAAAGCGTGTGTTCATGCTTTTACAGAAATATCAAGTAACATTGTCCCTTTGGGCGACGCACGGACACGGCTCACAGGCGGAGCAGGATGTCGGTGGCCTTTGTCGTCGCTGCCTGTGGAGGTGACACAGTGTGGACAGGTATTGATCCGAGAGGCTTCTCCTGGCGCGTGACATCAAGCTGCTGCACGACAGATCTTTGCGTGTTTTTATGCGCTGCGGGAGGCGTCAGATAACAAGGACGATTTATTGGCTCCCTGCCGCTGACCGTCGGCACCATACTGTACGTAAACGGGACATTATCTAAACCCTTGACATTATTCAATCAGGGTTGTGAAACAGTCACTTTCAAAGCACGTCTCAAACACCAGACTCAGTAAATGTCTAGAGAGGTTTTATCTGATTATCATTCCAAATTTAGACGCCAACTGTGCTGTTTTCTCATAAGGCTTAAAGCCCCACAGGAAACGATTCATGAGATCACACAGCTGATGTACTCCTCTTCCAGAATCTGAATTAGATTACTTTACATAGGGGACACGTGTCAATTAGTGGTACTTTTATGAAAGCATTTTTCTGCGTGATTGGCACATTGTGTATTAACAAGTGATTAAACCACCAGAACACTTTTCATTAAAACCTCACGCCTTAATTAACTTTTAATTTTTAATTTAAAAGAAAAAATAGGCTAATCAAGCAACTGGCTTCTTTTATTACCTCGTCAGATGGGGAAAAACAACTTTCCCACGCTAAAGAATATTCAAATTAATTTCACACCAGTCATAGACAATAACAGTACTCACCTCAGAGGAATCTTCACAGCCAAATATCGATCAATTGCAATAGCGAGAAGGCTGAAGATGGAGCTTTGGGTCAGCACCAGGACAAAGCAGGCCAGGAAGAGGCATCCGTAGAAGTCCAGGTGTATGCCGATGCTGATGGTTATGGCAAAGGGGATGGCGAGGCAACCGACCAGAATATCAGCCACGGCCAGAGACACGAGGAAATAGTTGGTGGCGTTCTTCAAAGTGGTGTTGATGGCGACGGCCCAGCAAACCAGTATGTTGCCGGATATAGAAAGAATAGCAATTAATACCTCAATCACGATGTATAACTTATCCATCTCAGCAATGTGTGTCGGAGGACTAAAAGCTGCAGGCAGAGCATTACAGAAGACAAGTCACACGCGCGCGCTGCCTCTAGTCACAGAGGAGCAAAGAAGTCTTTCTGCTGTAATCCAGGAATATCCCACAAGTGTGAGCCGCCGAACCAGCCATCTGTTGAAAGGAAAGGAATTCACTTTAAAGCAGCTCTCTTGCACCGCCGAGTTGGCGAAAGCTGCGCCAGCGGCGTGTAACGCGCGGATCCGACCTGCGCACCGGGCGACGCGCGTCCTTCGCTCTCTGCGACCGATCCGCTTAAGCAGCATGTGTACTTCTGAAACGCAGGCAGCGCGTCACACAACTTCCCCCTGACATCGTCTATGAAGTGGACGAGAAAAAGAAAAGATAAAAGAAACAGCTAATGAAAATAAGTCCCTCAATTACTCAGAAAAGCCACGCCCCAAAACCGACACAAGAAGCGCAAAATGGGTGGAATCCCCGACGAGAGTTCAGCCGTGCGTAATTACGCGCCCATTTAACACGATGCAACGACGCGTGCACTCTCGTTTCGTTTGATGCAAATGCTGCCGTGTTTGTGCTGCACACACGCGCACTGTTGGCTGAAGCAGACACGTGGGACCAAAGAGAACGGAAAGGTATGCATATGATAGAAGTTTTAAAGAGAGGAAAACGCGCATAACATTCCCGAAACGCAGACAAAGTTTGATGCACTGGCAGTTCTATTCAGACTCATTTTATTGTGTTAATACATTTGTGTCGGGATGTGTTTAAGTAGAAAAGGTGTGGGGAGAAAAGCAAGCCACACTTTTCCACACAATGTCGGCGAATGGCCAAATGTTTCACAACGCTGCCATGGACATTTAACGAGAACCGTGGAAAAGCAGCATCTTCGTGTAAAAACATAACCTGAATAATATATTGTTTAAGTGGATAATTGAATATAAAACTTGACCAGCTTTTATTGTCCATCCACTAGGCCTTCAAATCTGAAAGCCGCACATAGAAAACTGCACACGGTTCATTTTCAGGGTGAAATTATTGTAATAAATAAACACCACGTTTATCTTCCCAAACACAAGGGCATTTGCAAATAGAGGCCAGTCTAAATCATCACATAGAACGTGTGTCTCTTTCCTGACATGTGATCAGTCATCTCCTTCATAATTAAACATGACAATGCCAAATATTTTGCAAAGTAGCTATAGTACCATTATTTAGACAGTTTTCATTGAAAATGTGAAGAAAACAGGTTGATTCTGCCTGTCCTTGAATCGTATGTAAGTTCCACAAGATGACATCTCAGATCTGCTTAGTTTCTATTCTTATTAATGCACACAATTAAAGGTGAAAAATATAAATTCAGTTCTACTCAAACCCTTCAGCTCAAAATACTCTGCAAAGTACAGCTCCAAACACTGTAGCTCACAACAATCACTCAGTATGAGAAATGAGACTAATTATTTAAAGCGACATTTCAGCAAATGGAACCCAACTGTTTTTTGCATGTTGCTCAGGGAAAGTGACTGGAGGTTACGGTGCACCTTTCGCCATGCAAACGCTCTTCAGCGAGGTGCTTATTGGAGGAACATTTGGCACATGTTGAAAAATACTGGAAAAATACCTTTTCTCTGGACAAAAGTCACTACAGCAGCCTACAAGTTTGGACTCTAGTTTGGACTCTAGGAGTTTGGTTTAATAAGAACTTGTGTCCAAACCTTTGACTGTTACTGTATGTATTTTTGTCAATAGAGGGAGATTAGAAATAAAATCAAGTCATTCCGTCAACTGCCACAAGGCGCGACAAGTATTTTTCAGCATAATGTGTTCGTGTGCTCTCATTTCTTTGAGAATCAGATGCTCAATGGCCACTTTACGGCTGGTAAAAAGTCAACGTGTTTCCCTGCTGCAGTCTTTATCAATTTGGGCCTCAGCCCTCACCGTAGTGTCCCGTTAAGAAATGTCATGAGTGTTTCTGTGACTTTTTGAACCTCTACACACAGAGAGTGTTCATATGTCCCTGAAGTGGAGCAGTGAGCAGGAAAAGTGTTCACGTGGCAGCGTTCGGTCGTCTGGAAGGTCATCGCAGTACTGACCGACGCCGCACCTCAAAGTGCTGCAGTGACCTCGATTCCTCGGCCTCCGGCTCCTCGCTCAGGTCTCAAAATACTTGTAGATCTGGGAGACGTACAGCATGACGCTCTGCCAGTCTGGCCTGTCCGTCTTTATCAGCTCCTCCATGTCCTGTTTGGACCAGAAAGAAGAGCTAATGAAAAAAGACTAAGAGTCATGTGGATTAGGGCTGTTAGGACCGTAATCTCTGAGCGTTACGAGCAGTGCACCTGTCAAGCAATGATGAAGTACATCAGATATCATCTCCTGTTCTGATCAGTTTCTTAAAAAATGTAACGCGAGCAGCATTGTTATGAAGCCCCTCTGAAAAGGGCGTCAAAGTCCATGAAAAATGACTGCACTGCCATTAGTGCAATCAGCTGTAATGTAGAACCAAACGCGCAGCCACCAAGCTCACGTCACACACAGACACACACGGCCCCAAAATGATGTCTTTGCAGGACGTACGAAAGTGATGTGCTGCCCAGAACGACACCGTGTTTTCGAAAATGTTCTTAATGCTACTGTGAAAAACAAAAAGCACTCCACGGTGCTGTGAGAGTGCAGTGGGCCACTCCGATAAATCCTGACCTACGGCGCTTTAGTCAGACCGCAAGAGGCTTTCGCATGACTCCGTATCGAGCTGGCGTCACAGCAGCCTCCTCTCGTGCAGATTTATACAGAGGTCTCGGTACAGTCGCTGCCGCGATGTCTCAGCCTCCTGACGGGAGAATGATCAGCTACTCTGCGGGCCGCGTCCCCGGTTCCGTTTCTGCTGCAGAGCGAGACGGCGTTGAAACGCCGAAAGTCATTGGCATGGAAACAAGCTACCTATCTGGTAATAATGGAGAATTATTGAGAAGTGTGACTTTTGGTCCCAGGGAAACATTTAAGCCTAATTCACTTCCTTGCTGACATCCAGCTGGCTCGGCCCCATTTAGACTGATTTGTGTGTTTTCTCTCAGCCATTTTGGAGCAGTTTTTTAGGGTTGGGCTTTCAGAGAGGATGGATACCCCTTAGATTCTGATCCGTTTGATTACGTTTACAGAAGATTTCTATTATCAAACAGAGGATTTCCCTTCACTCAGCCCATATTGAATTGTCCTAATTAGATTTGGCAATTTGTGAGTTTTCCTGTCTGCTTTTCTCAGTGGTTTAAACAGGGCGGGGCTTAGATAGAAACTCATGTACCTTTTTAGCACTATTAAGGATTAATCAAAATATGACAACAGGTAACGGCGATATTTGCTAATGCTGCTTGGCTACTGTCAATCATTTGATCAATAAACACCCACACCGTCCTGTAAAGAGAGTTGGACAGTTATTAGTACAATGATGCCAAGAAAGTCTTTTCCCCAACTTTAACGTCAATTGTTCTAGTATTCAGTATGTTATAGAGAAACAATTTATATTAAAACCTTTTTTCCGCGGCTTAAAGAAAAATTGTACCATGCTTTTACTAAAATAAAAAGTAAAATAATAATTGGACATTTTTGCCAACACTCCAGATGCTTATTTATAACCTGGAAATATCTCTATAAAAAAAATGTACACACATTTCTGTTCCCCTCATAGTGTCACCAGCATGATTCTTGTTACACATTTGTCTTGTGTCTACAGGAGTCAAGCCGGCCGTTACCTCTGCTTCAGCATTTTATTCAAGCCAATTGCAGCCTCTAGCTTTGCATTTTCAGTGGAATCTATTTTTCAATTCTTAAATTCTCAAGAAAGAACTCTACAAGTAAAATGAAACAGGTGAGCTGGAGACTGACCGATGGTCAGATAAAATATTTGTGGGACATCTTTGTACTGAAGCTTCACACATTTAAATCAAAATGCGCTGTTTCCAATTGTGGAATCAAAGGGTCCTTGTGTGTTATCCCTCTTTGTGTGTGTGGTCTGTGGCAGCTCAACTCACCAGAGGGGTTTTGATCCCGATGCTCTCGGCCGCCTGGAAAGCAAGGGTCAGATTCCGGCCCTGAGGAAAAACAAATCATTGGCCGTTCAGAGGCAGCGAAACGCTCCATGGTTTGACCGCCAACAAATACGTGTTTTGACACCTCCGAACACCCAGGAGACAGCAGAGGACATATGTAAGCCTCAGCTTGTTTGAACGAGCCCTTCAGTGTCTTATAGTATCGTCTGTGTTTATGTGAACGCGTGAAGCTATAAGGGGAGCCTAATCAATTAGCTAAATTCCTTTAGATTTAGCCCCAATTATCCTCGTGAAACTGTAGACTTTTGTAAGGTCACTTCTCCAAAGAAAGGAAATGAGAAATCAAAACAGACTTCGGACGGTAGACGTCATGGAGGTTGACAATTTGTTGTAGCCAGAGAACAATTTTCACCCAACTGCAACATTGTTTGCTTAAAACACCTATGTTAAAGGGCATAGGCGGGCAGTAATGGGATTATTGGGAGAACAGATTAGACTGGGAGGAGGTCGGGTGTTTGGGCCTCAGGAAAAGTCACTCAGCAAGAGTTATTAAAGCCAACAGCGGTCTATTGAATTATTCAGAGAGATGTCTCCGTCGTCAGCTCGGTGTTACGCATTCACACACCTATATGACTCATTTGTCACGTAGGAGGTGTCCAGCCTGGCTTCGAGGTGTTGTTCTATTGTCTATTGTTTTAATGACTTGGCCGTCCCCAGAGAGGAACTGTATTGTTTGCACCTGCATGTGCACAGAGGACAACATAGGACTGAACATGCACTTTGTTTGCTTTCCTCAGATCATTCTCTTAATACATTCAGGTATGATGTATTCACAGCTTACATCACAAACTATATGCTTTTTAGGACTTAGTTTTCCCATATATATCCCATATATATATATATATATATATATATATAAAAAACCTCAAGTGGATTTCCAACAGACACAAAGTGACAAAAGGGCCCATCAGAGGATTATAAGAGATGTAATACACGCTCAGTGCCTGATTTATTCACCTCTTCTTCCTGTTTAAATCAACCAGACACAAATGATGAACCGCTAATCCAGTTATAGTGTCAAATCCTTTTATAAACTAAATTTCATAAATAAAATAGCAACACAGTTGCATACTTTGTACTCGTTTTTAAATACACATAAGACGTGATAACAAACTGCTCTGAACTGTAACTCTTTCTACATACGTGGGAAAAATAAATAAATAGAAGAAATATCAAATGTCGAAAGAAAGAAAACTCATAAAAGTCATTAAAGTCAGTGTTTAATTTATCCCAGAACGTCAAAGTGTAGTGTGCCGGAAATGTTTTTTGATTGATCACCTCCCAATTGAATAGAATACATTGTTAGGATAATTAAGCTAAATTCGTCTTTCTAGTCACTGTCTCCTAAACTTCCTGTTATGTATATAGATGTTTATAATCAAGGGCATATTTTACTTCAAATCAGAATAACATTTATTAATAGTGTATGAACCCAGATTCATTTGAAATCCGACAATAAATATTAGTAAGTTATTAAATGGAGCTTTATTTATATCAACAGTCATTAGTTAAATGGACACTACTGTACATGTCATCATTCAAAAAATTGACAACTCATAACCCAGCATGCCGAAAAAAGGCATAACATTTTATTTTTCTCTGTCAAAAAAAAGTCACTGTGTAGTATGTCCAAAAAACGTAACAAGGCTGTTGAACCCCCCCATAAAGAGGTCCCAGCATAGTATATCAAACTCCTCTCTGGTTTCTAATGAAGTTTTATGAAACCCTGTCAAAATACTTGTTACCACTTTTCTCTGAAATTCTCTGTATTTCTTACAATAACATATAATAACCGTATAATTGCAGCTGGGGAATAACAGGAAGGATGCGAGAGGGGATGACAGACAAAGGACTGCAGGTGGGAACCGACTCCTTAGCTGCTGTCAAGGCCTCCGCGTGTTCTACGAGTCGTCCCATACTGTGCCGACAACGGGACAATGGAAAGTAACCTCTCCTATACACAGCCGTTCCTGCTCCTCTGATCCGATCACAGTAAATCCCAGATTGTTGTAGCTAACCTGGTTAGCGTTTCTTCATTTGGCTTAAAACGGCAGCGCTCCGAGGCACCGCCCACTCGCCGTCATCATCGTGCAGTCTGTATGACTCAGAGCTCTCAGAGCTTCTCAACCTTCTTTTCTACCTTTTATCCACCTACGATTCCCCTCATTCTGATACCGTCAAAATGGGGGGCTACAAATCTGAATTCCCCTGAAGTTACAAGTCAGACCTCACAATTCTGGTAAAAACGGGTAAGAAACCATCGAGTTTTCACTTTATTTGGAAAAGGATGCGTGTGCTTCCTTTCCATAAACACATTGGTTTCCATGCCCTCTGTGCACTTTAGTGTGAGATTGCGTGTAATTCTCCTTTATGTTCTACCTTATCTCGACTCATGAGCTCTTGGTAAGGGATGTGGGCAGGCAGATATGTGTGCAAGAGAGCACAGAACGCCAAGCCGTCACTCCAACTGCTGCTGAAGTTGGTCACATCGATATCCTGTAGACGGCAAAGAAGAGGCGACAAAAGGCAAGTAAACACAAAGAAGTTACAGACAAGTCAAAATCAATATCACATACTGATAATGAGCTTCGAGTGCCCATAATTTGTGTAAGAGAGCAAATAACCTCTTTACAGCATGAATAAGCTATGAAGAAATCCATTAAGTCACAACCACAAAAGAGAATATTATTATTACAATCGAATGCTGTTCCAGGTCATGTTTCCTTTGGAGGATGTTGGGAGGTTCTTCTTGGATCCCATTGAAGCCTCCAATGCGCTTTGTAATCTCTCCTCTGTGTGCGCAGGGTGCTCAGCAGCATGTCCGGTCTGTAGTGCGCGTGTGTATGAGCGCGCGCGCGCTATTCACAGCGCATTGTCAGCCGGTTGACAACCCCCAAGTCATTGTTTGGCTCCTTGTCAGACAGGTAATTGCGGTTTCTTGTCATTTATTAATCTCAGTTTTATTAATCCCCGTTGGGTTCGTCTTTGCGTCCGTGCACATTGGCTACAGTTGGATGTTAAAGAAAATGCAGCATGTGTTGTTCACTGTTACTCGCAGCCACTGGTCTTCAATGCTGACCCTGAGGAGCGGAGCTAGTCCAACTAGTGACTGGGCCATAAATGTGACGCCACACGAGTTAAAAATCCCACTTTTGAGTTGCTTCAGTAATGACTCTGCCCTGAGAGCCTATGAGTTGTTCACAGATTTGTAGTTTCTGATCGTCTGCTTTGGTGGTCAGGATGTCAGTTACCGCTGCTTAACACCAGCTGTGCTTTCAAGGTGAGAGGCGTTTCCCCTCCCAGAGTTCACACTGCTGCTAGCGTGGTTGTAGACTCGGTCTTTATTAAATGTCTTCAAATGTTGAACAATTGTTCTATATTAATATGCAGAAGATCTATAATTCTGTTACTGTTGAACGTCTCCCTAAATTTGAAACTGAATGTGCCTCATATCACGGCAGCGAGCATCCATCAGCCTTAAATAGGATTAAAATGCTGAATATAATAGCTGTAAAAAGTGCAGACAATCATTGTCCAACATGAGTCATCGGGCAGTTGTGTCCACAATAAAAAGTGAGGGAGCAGCTGTTTTAAAAAAAATATTTCACGTGATACACATTTGATCAAGAATCAGTCACAAACTAATGATTACCTCAGGGGAAACAGCCACAATCAATTCAAAAGAACATTTTTTAACAACACTGGTATTCTTATGCACTAAAAAAACACATTAATACTACAGTACAAGTTTATAATGTTTTCAATCAAGCCTAAAAAGGATCTCCATACTGCAGATAACATTACTGTCATCTAATGCTTTCAGGGTGGAAATGAGAAATGTTTGGATGGTTGAGTCTCCTCTCCCTCAGTCAATGGCATTCTGTTATGTTTGGAGGGCAGACCTGTGCAGTCATGTCATCCCACATTCTCCTCATAACTCCCCCAACCCGTCCCTCTCTCAGCTGGCTCATCAACAGCCCGACTTGCACTGTGTGTGCTAATGTTGCATGCTGACAAACACACACTCGGACGGACTGATGGGGGTTGATCGGCCACCACAGACTTTGATATCCTGATAGACAATGACAAATACGCTGATAGGAGAGGCTGCAGAGTGCATTGTATGTGTGTGCGTGTGTGTGTGCGCGCTGATCTTCGTTCCGGGAAGAAGGAGAGGGGAAGCCATGCTATGCCATGAATGCTAAAACAGCAGCGGACAGCTCTCAGCTCTCTGGGCTCGAAAAAGCAAACACAGCATTGAGCGACAGGAAGTGTCTCACTCGCTCAAACTTTTTAGCGCTTATGGGAAAGAAAAAGAAAAAGTGATCAGTAGAGGCCCGTATTTGCTTTGGTCTGCCTCCAAGAGCGAAGCAGGTTCTATGGCATCACCAGATACAGTTCAAGTGAAAATGAGCCTTGGTAGTTTCACGCAAATAGGGTTTCTATTTTTTTAATGGGAAGGTGTGTCCAAACATTTACCGGCACTGTACATGAGACTTTACGTTACAGACCTGGCACAGCAAAAGCCCTCTGTTGTAAACCGTCCACTGTTGGAATTCACAGACTGACGAGCTGGACATGAGCCGAGCAGCGACAACAACACCGGCAGCACTTTAACACTGCGTGCAGCAGTGGGAGCAAAGTTTGCACTGGACTCTCTTCTCTCCCTCCCCCCCCCGCTGTCATGATACTTGGCCCCCTGATGTCAACATGACACAATGGCATGTTGAGCTCACTTACAAAAAACACCTGCACGCTGCAACAGGCGGTGTGTAACACACGGCTCCCTAAAAAGCCATCGGTCTGAAGAGTGAAAGCAGAAGACGGCGAGGCAGAGAGCCATCCGACTGATGAGCCGGTCCCAGTATATTTAGTGTCATAGACTCTCTCTGCCTTGCTTCGAATTAGTAGGGTGTCATAGAGACAAACGACCAGGGATCAGAAAGTTTGAAACTGAGTAACAAAAAGAGAGAGTTGAGAGCGATGCAATGAATCAGCCTCATGAGCGACGACAGGATGAAAGGCGGCCGGGACTTTTGGGGGGGAAAAAGACGGGGCAACGGGGAAGGTCACAGAGCTGCTCTGCATAGAATCAGCCTGTCTCTGCGTAGGATCTAATGGTTGTATTCTGCACAGAAAACAGGAAACAGAGTGGGGAGGGGTCACACAGGTTAAACAGGGCACATATGAGCTGTACGGGTGCTTTATGGCTGATCTACATTTGATGGAAAATGTTCATATCCTGTATTCTATAATCTTTATCTCGAGTAGGCTTGTGAGCTACACACAATTATTGCTGCTGCTGTAGCATTGATTTATTATTCTCATCCGATTCAAAGCATGGAAATCAGATATTACTATTTAGTACACCTGCCGGATGTCAACGGTGACTTAATATGTTGTGTTAGTTTTTGCACTTAAGTACAGACAAACCAAGTTTCAATTGAAATTCAAACCAGATTACTGTTCAGAAATTCTAATCTATAATAATTTGAGGAATAAAAAGAAAACCCCATATATTAATAACTACATATGGTTTTATACTGATGATCCCACTCACAGCACCCGTACTGTTAATTCCAATATACATTAATGGCTACTCTTTAAACTCCAAACGTCGTCCCCTCTTCAATGTTTGACCTCTATTCCACATGTACTCTTGGGGACCATTCCTGTCCCTTCAGCGGCTTTGAGCGAGCGTGTGCATGTGCATGCGCGTGCGTGTGCATGTGCATGTGCGTCCGACTTTCCCAGACGTAGCCGGATGAGCTGTGCTCCGTCAGGCCCAGCTGAGCCCGCTGCTCAGAGCCTTTGCTCATTGTTCCCATCATGAACAAACAGCGTATTTATTGTTGTTTGGCTTCTATGGTTAATTGAGAGAAGAAAAAAAAAAGTTGAAAGTGTCTGGAGCTGTCCTAAATTAAGACATCAAAGAGCCTGATAAATATTCAGCGTGTTTTCCATCCGATCTGACGTCCTAGAATCTGACTGTAGCCAATGGCCGCTTTAATAAAACTGGAACCACAACAAGCAGGCATTTTGTCAAAATGGGGGATATTTTTGAAATGAGGTTTCAAACGTTTTAGGAAAGAAAGAAGAGATCGAAAAATGTAGAATTTGATATAAACTGTAATTTGGTTTGTAATCTGGCGGGTATTAAATGGCTCTGTAAAGACTTGTGGAGCAAAGTAATGCACATACAGTACCAGTCGAATGTCTGGACACACTCTCATTGAATGAGAAAACGTGTCCAAACTTTTGACTGGTTTTGTATACAAGTCACAAAACATCCAGCGACAGGATGTGCAGCAACGTGAGCCACTCGACAGATTGCCATGGAAGCGTTCTTGTGTTTTAAAGCCCGTGTCCAATCCAGCGCTGACGTACACAGAATCCCTTGTGAATACCAATTTCCTGTGAGAGGCCCCCCTCACTCCCACGGGGCAGAGTTAATCAGAGAGAGCTTAAGGTCTTCACCGATCGATCCGTGCTTCCCAGAATCTGACATTTGTAGCGTTCGAGCTTGACTGGACTCACGGCGCGGAGGACGCGACGTTTCGCTGAGAGTGTGGATGAAGATGTCGGTTGAACACACCCCTTCATACGCCACACTTCCCCCCCTCAGGGGTTCGAGGGCTCCTCTCCATGGCGACGGCACAGTCATTCTATGCATCCTGTGTGTGCTTTCCCTTCCCCGACCGACTGTTCACACAAACACATTTGCACACACGCACGCACGGCTCATGATGCGTGATTTAAGCCACGTTATTTCCCCCCATTGTTACCTATTTGCATTAAAGAGGAAGATAAACATGCATTTTTGGAGTCATACCGTAGCTCACATGGATCAGCAAAGACGCTTTAATTCTTGTTTGTCCATCAAAACCCACAATGTGGTCGAATTTAATCTTCTTCATGAGATGAGTACAAGCACTCATCTCTCTCATCTCTTTATTGATCGCAGTGAACAGCCTTTGTCTCCATCTATAACCGCACTGATTCATTGTGCCCCGGGCAGCCATTTGCATCTAAACATCAAATAACCTCCCGGCGTGCTTACAATCACTCCGGTTTTCAGTTTCACTTTAATTACGCTGCTGTTTGACAGAAAGGCCCGCTAACAATGTGACTGTAATAACAGGCGGCACGGGGCAGAACCCCCGTCGGCTTTGTCCCCGTCTCACGCAGCAGCATTTCTGACTGCGTGATGGCAGATGAGCACGATATAAGAGCTGGTTATCAAAGTAAACAGCTGCCTCTTGCAAGTAACCATTCATTATGTAGCCTGAAGAGGCCAAGCATAAATTACAACTGCTTCACTCCGAACTTAAGAGCCAATTAGTGTTGAGTTATTACCTCTGTGACCTTACTTCACAGCAGAGAAGAGAGGAACTGCAAATTGCATTTGGGTGTATTGATAAAGCTAAACCTCGCTGACCTTTATCAGAGCAGAACACAAGCATGACAGAGATAAAGAAAGACAAAGCAGGCAACCTGGATGTTGTATTTCAGGCGGCCGTCGTAGTCTCCGTCCTGGAGCTACAAACTGCGTGACGGTTCAGACGGTCTCTGGGCATTAGCTCTGTAATTAGTGGCTTCCGTGTGCACGGTGGCCTTATAACACAGTAACAGCTTAACCTTCACCGGACACGTCCTCTGACAGTAACCTTTGCTGAGGCTCGCCAGACCAAAGCGTGGGCCGGTGGCAGCACCCCAACTTTGCTTTAAGTGACGCGCAAACACCACACGTCTCACACACAAACACGCGGCGGATGTCCACGCAGTGGAGAAATCCTTAATTCCTGTGGAAGGTGCTGGAATGCACCACAAAAATCCCAGGAGGTCAGAAACAGTCACCCTGAGCTCTGCTTGGAAACTTAAATGACGTAAAACACAAAATGTTTGGGAAAATTGAAGTTGCATGAATACTGGTTTACTGTAATTAGTGTGTGCAGTCACACTCTTTCTGAAAATAGACCTTTTAATGGTTAACTGCCTAATAGTCTGTGAATGAAACCATCTACAGGTCAGGCACATGAAACACGAAGAGAAAAGGCACAAACACGAAGGGTCGAGGCGAGGAGGGGACTGATTACGCCAAATCTTCTTACTACATTCCTGATACTTTTAAGCACACTGTGTTGCTAAGCCTTGGCGAGAAGGGATCATAGATTCCATACTGGAATGGAAATGAGGCTCAATTCACTGGACACCAACCTTTCTAAGCACGTTCACTTAAGTACTACACTTAAGTACAACCCTCAAGTACTAGAGTAAGTTATCTTTAAGTCATCTTTAATTAAAAGCTACATATACCTTTACTGTACCGATTTTACATTTGTAGTTGGCATATTAAGATTATTACATTTTACATGAAATATGATAAAACCACAAAAGAACACCGGTGTTTTTAGTTTTAAACTATTTCCAACAAGTCCAGTGGTTAAAATGAGCTCGCCCTTGACTGCAGAGCTATCAATATTAGCAATGTTTCATCAATCATTTGAAAATAAAACAAAAATATTCTCTGGTTCAAACTACACAAACTCAAGCCCCATATACACATCATCACATATGAGTAAGGGATGATTCCGCATTAACACTTTTGTACATTTTCAGAAAGCAGTTCTGTAATTTTAGAAAGTAATATTTTGAATTCAGGACTATTGCTAATAAGCAATAGCATAGAGTACTTCCTCTTTCCCTGGATATCAGCTGCTGTTCTTACTTACAGGGAAACTTAAAATGCCTCAAAACATCCGACCGCATGACTTCGTTAAGCCTTTTTAATCTCTTAACGACTTGAATTTGCAATGAGCTGGTTTACTTTACAGTGCGGCGTCTACCAATATAATGAAGTTTCTTCTTAGTTTCCCTCTGCAGCGCGCAGCTGGAGGTGGGTAACTGAACTGAAGCAGCCCCGGCTGCTTGCAAACAGCTTAGTCATCTTATGACAGAAGATCATCAGACTGTCTGTTGCTCAACGGCAGTTTTATCTCATCTGGTCAGATATTTCCATCACAGGTGATTTTCTGTGTGTGTTTTAACAACACTGCCCTGTGTGACCATCAAACATCCTCAGATGAAGGAAGGGTGACTCAAAGTTCACTGAGCAGCATTGTGCTTGAAAAGTAGAAACTATTGATCTGACAACTCATCCTATTATTGAGAGCGTCAATCAGTGGCAGAGCTGGGTCTATTTTTAGCAGTAATCGACACCCACGCCTTTTCATACTTCATCAGGCCTGAAATGACTCGGAGGTTGGGACCGCTCTGCCTGCCGGTAAGAGTTTTTGCATCAACTAGCTGGCAATCTGGCACACAACCTGATTATTACAAATCTCTAATCCCACTGGGCTCAATGGGCTTCTTAAATTGGGTATTAGGGGAGCAGCTAAACCAGGTGATTGTCAGCACTCGGCTCCATGGACACAGGGAACACAGATGGGGACAAGACACAATAACAATGCATAAACAAATGGACTTGCATAAAGACCAGCAGGGCTATATGAATACACAGCTGTATAAAATCAAGTGTGTGGGTAACATTTAGTGCTTGGCATCAGTGTTTCCATTGCCTCTGGGCCACAGTTCATCCTCCCAGTGAGATGACAGGTGGGTGAATTGTGGTTCTGCAAACATGTATGTGCAACTGCACTAATGCCGTAGTAATGACTAAAGACAAATAGCCTTACGAACCCGCGGGCACAGACGGCCCCGAGCTGCACGGATGCAATAAGACTAAAATAAGCCTTTCAGACAGCGAGGCAGAGAAAGGCAGGGTGTGAAAGTGAACGGAGCCCCGCCCTGTGTTGGAGATGTCCGTGGCCTGTGGTCCCTACCGGATAGCCCTCTGTTTTCTTCTGGCACCACTTCAGTAGAGCGTTTCTCTTAGATCCTCCGTACTCCCGCGCCAGTGCAGCCAAGGGGTCCTTTCTTTCCACACTGTCACCACGGGAACACAAACAGTAATCACACACACACACACATACACACACACACACACACACACACACACACACACACACACACACACATACACACACACACACACAGGGAGGGAGAGAGGGGAACGATAATGATTTTATAAAGTCAAAACAATAAGTTCTGCAAATAGGTACTCATAGTTTAAGAATGTGCACAGTTAACTGACTTAACTTTTTTCCAGAAAAATGTTGTGTAACTAATTTGAATGTCTGCCACTAGTTCCTACGACGCCTTGATGTAAAAAAAACAGATGTTCCTTACTGCTCATGGTCTCATGCTTCTAAAAATGTTACTTCTTATTTTGTAAATATTTTTTGGAATCAGGAAAGTTGAAAAAGTTAAGTAATCCTGTTTTCACAACAAAATAGTTGAAAACCACACAATGCAAAAAAACAAAAAATGGAGAAAAAGAAAATATGTCAAAGAAATAAAGTGATTAATTTGTTACTCCTTTACTCTACTTTCCTACCTAGTTAATTACTTTCCAAATGCTCTCTCTCAACAAAAATACATCTGTTATTTGATCCTGTGCTATATGTTATCATTGGTTGAAGATCAAGATTGAAGCAGCTCTGCAGTTTGGTGTATTAGTGTTAAGAGTCTAGAGTTGGCTCTCGATTGCTTTGAAGTGAAGCCACTAATATATATACATATATATACAGTATGTGTATATAGTGGTTTCACTATATATATATATATACACAGCTCAGTGTCAAGTTTGGCTTTAAGAGCGGAATATAAAGCTTTAGCACAGGCGAGCATCCCTCCCTCCATTTTTCTTTACTTGATTCCATCTCTCTCCATCTCTGTGTGCTTATGCTGACATGTTAAATACATTACACTGACCGGTCTGGTGTACCACTTTCTAATGTCGGAGTCCGAGGAAAGTGTTGAATCTGAAGTTTTATTTATTTATCAGTTAGGGTCTGCTCCCTCGGGGTTGGTGCTGCAGCCGAGGCCATGGGAAGACCACGAGACACGGCCGCCGCTATGAACGCGGTAAACATTTCCCAACGCGCAGCAGCTCTGCTGTTAAATTCATTATTTCTCTGTTTAAGGATCCGCAGGCCCAGAGGCAGCAAGGCCCTTTCCAAACCAATTTTGCCGGGGCCAGAGAGGGCTGGTACGTTCATCCCCAGTGAGCGACTAGCTGCATCGTGTAATCAGCAAGAAACCAAAAGGAAATGTTCTGCTGCTGATCTGCGGTTTCTGAGGCCTGCGTGACGGTCTGCAACACAGTTGCACACATTTACAATAATAGCGCATAAAGACGTGTTAATATGTGAAGGGATTTAGAAAGCTTGATGGATTCAATAATAAATAACATCACGATAAGAAGAGAAGCGGCGTGACACTGACAGTTGATGAATGTGAGTTCATACCACGTTGGTGTGAGACGGAGGTTTCGTCCTGTGCGCTGACCTCGTTTTTTTTAGTGCCTCCTACTTCGGCTTGTCTCAGTGTGACGACGTGTACCTGAAAACTCAAAAACTAGCTCAGACCCAACCGCCTGCAGCGGGAGTTGAGCATGGGTCAAACTAAATGGAGCCCTGCCGTTGGCCTCTTCTGTGTGCACAGAGAGATAGGCTGTCTGTACAGGAACATGCTTGTAATGCCAGAGGTCAGGAGAGGGAATATTTTTGTTTAACATCTGACTCTCTTCCCTATCTGATAAGCCAGACTCCATTTACTCTGGTGAAGCCATCTGTGTCAACACTGTGTCAACACTGTGGGCAAGAAAAGTTAAACGGTTTCATTTGGCTTGAATAATTAAAACGGCATTGCAGTACAATATGTTGTCACTTAGGAAGACTACCATGTTGCAAAATAACAGATTAATACATAGCCCGTTTCCAAATAATGAAGGGGAACCCGTTTTACCAAAATGTGCTTTTTAATTGAACTCATTATTATTATTGAGTTGTTCTATTGCATTTTTGTTATAGTCAGATCATGTGTATGTGATGGCACTGTGTTGCAGACAGCACACACCTGGTCTCACAACATTCAACTTGTATTTCTCTCCGATGTGCTGCGTTTTTGGGCGGCTGTGGCGCATGGAGTATGGAGGATGCGCCGGTAAATGGAAGGGTCGGCGGCTCAAACCTCGGCTGCTATATGTTCCGTGTCAAGCCCCCAACAGCACAGGGCTACACTGCTCCCACTGTGTGGGATCGGTTAAACGCAGAGAATAAATCCCCTACAATATTAATAATAAAGGATGCTTTCTTTCTTTCTCTTCTTTGCTCTATTTCAACCAACAATCATGTTGCGTGTAGTGAAATACAATATGTAAAGTGGTGTAAAGTGAATTGAACAAAATCCTTCTGCTTCGCCCACCTGAGTTTGCTGTTGCCTCGGTTGCAGCTGAAGGATGCTGTGCGGCTGCGGAGGGAGGCGAGGGGTTTGATTACAGACTCGAGAGAAGGGCTCTTCCTCATCAGGCTATTTGGTTTCAGGTTGTCCCCGAAGCCCGACAACTTCTCTGTCAGACAACACAGAGAGCGTAACGCTTTTTACAACGCACATTGTAAGATGCATTACATATTTGTAAAGTGGGACTGCAACAAAAGTATGTGTGAGAATAAACATTCACGAGTTGGTTTTGAAATGAGAAATGGAGACGGAAATCAATTCAAGTTACTAAAGGACAAATCTACTAAGAAGACACTGCCACCTTCTGTTTCCAGCCAATTCTTCAAAATACTCAAAATCCCGCAGCACAAGTCTATACTGTGTCCACTGTCGACACCAAGACACAAAAACTAAAGACACGAGGGGGAAGTTTCAGTTTGGGAGAAGGCAGGCAGTCAAATAAGATCAGGGAAGTGACTTTACATGCACTTATAATACCTTTGCACATTGTTTCCACTGCTTCTATCTATAATTATCCATTGCTACAAGAAGAATATAACGCATTAGAAATATGTTTCTAATGCATTATAGACATGGGTGTGCACATTTTACTGTCTCTTTATCACAGGAGGAGCTGGAGCATCTGTTAACTGTAGATGCAGACATTTAAAGTATACACAATTTGCTTTTAGACAATAAAATCATAAAACTCCCGTTTATTTATCTCATGATTTCATTTCAGCGCTACTCATTTTTAAAGGAACTGACTCATAGCAGCATTTCGGTTAACCGTAATTGATCTTAAAAGCAGTGGGCGAGGCCATTCATTTGTTATCATAAATGAAATATCTATATAGACGTAAATCAAGCATCACGACATCCAGCTGAAACCACTTTAGGGTTACATACATACATACATACATAGATACATACCGTGACGAAGAGGGAATTCTCCGTGGTGGATTCTTTTTTCTAATGACTTGGAGAGTGGCTTTATGTTCGTGTGTCTCTAAAAGAACATAAAACAGAATAGAGACCTCATCACGTCAAAGTGTGAAACAGAATCGCATCTTGAAGGTCGATTTCTGTACATCTGAGCAGGAAGCGTCTCTCGGAGGATACCTGGACAGGAGAGACCGCAGCAGCAGGCGCAGAGCGAACAGGGATCCCACTCAGCGGGCTCCTGGGAGAGGAATGCATCTGAACGGTGAGGGCTGGTCCATCTGAAAGACCGGATATCACACCCATGGATTACTGTGCAGAAAGAGAACTACGGATTGACAAACAAAATTAAAAAAATGTATATAAAAAAAATGAGAACTGTAGTATTCAAAACCAGGAGCCAAATAATACTCCTACATGTACTCTTTGAATCCTCTACAATCAATCGGCATTCATTTGGAGAGTCACTATCCTAGCCTTGTTTACTTATTACTATTTATTATATGCAATGTCCCATTTATTAAGTATACCAATACAGCCTAAAGCAACAATTGTGTCTACAATTTTCAGGTTTTCTTATTTGTACATAGATCACAAAGACTCCAAAATAATCAACTACAAATTACTTTCCTGTAAAGAAATGACAGAAATCGGACCAGCTGTTCTCCTCTGTAGTTACACACACAGTGTGTGTGTGTGTGTGTGTGTGTGTGTGTGTGTGTGTGTGTGTGTGTGTGTGTGTGTGTGTGTGTGTGTGTGTGTGTGTGTGTGTGTGTGTGTGTGTGTGTGCGTGCGCACGCGCGCTCTCTCACTCTGGACAACAGTATCAAAGGACTTAATGAGGGATTTGACAGTAGCTCCAGGCTCCGAGTCGGCATCTCCGCTGGCGTCGGAGGGTGTGGTCGGGGTCATGCAGGTGCCGCTCCACTGGCTGTAGGTGTCGGACACCATCACCTCGTTACCGTGGGACCTAACCGACAGAGATGAACAGGGTTGTGGTGTAGAGACGTGTACTAAAAATACACCTGAAGAGAGGAAAGTCTGAGGAGACCGCATGTGCATTTGTAAACTTAACTTTACAGTTCATTTTAGGATTTCATGCTGGTTTTTTCTAGAATAAGAGGTTTACCGAGTGCATTGATAAGATGTAAACAACATGTGAACAGAAGAACGGTCAATAACCAAATGAGCAACAGCAGATTTAAAATTGGAACACTAAATCTGAGCCGTCATCAAGGCCCTTTGGATCCCTTTCCCCCCCGTTGGACATTGGACTCCAGGCCACAGAGTAAGGGGATTGGGATTTCTTTATCAGTGAGAAATGACAAGTAAGGAATTTGTTTCTTATACTCACCCCTATAGAATGTACTGAAAGAGAGACGACTACAGTTGGACTTGTGTAATGTAATTTATTCATTTGCCTACTAAGCAACAGTCAAACAGATATACGATCACTTAAGTATTCTTTCACAGGCACAGAAACAGCCTCTTTTTGCACAATAAATTAACACATTCAATGTTTTGTTTAGTCAATGGCTTTACAGAGGCGACAAAAGGAAGTATTACACATTCACCATCTTGTTGATCTATAGATGGTATTTTCGAGCACATCCAAATGTTTACATTTTGAGCCCCAGTACCTTATCTGGTAGAACCTCATGGCTTTCAATAAAAGTATTGAATTTTTATGATAAAAAGGAACCTGAGATCCTGCAATATGCTTTTATACTACGACTACACAGGACAATGTGTACGAGTCTGGCTCAACGGTCAAATAAATCAACCATGTGAAAAGTGATCAAGTGTGCAACAAGGATGCTGAAGAAATCTCTCAATACGTTTAAAATAGCGATTCAACATTGATCAACATGTATTAAAGAGTTGAGTGTCCTTTTAAGGTTCATGTGTTTGATTATCCATTCTATCCTCATCAGTAACGTTGCTGAAAAGGGGAAGGATAGAAAATGAGCAACTCATCCTACAGCGGAAACCGTCATTTCAGAAATAGATTGCACAGTAATCTTACGTGTTGTGTCTAAATGGACTATAAACCTTTTGGCATAGTGGAAGATAGTAAAACATGACTCTGAGGTACGGCTGTTTGTGGAAGTCTTAATATCTAATTTTGGCAGTGATCTGGATCCTCCAACATGGCTGACATTAAACTCATCCTGGTTATTCTATCTGGGGATAAAAAAAAAAAGAAACACAGCAATCATCAACAATACATATACAAAAAGCGACAGAGACAATAATGCCAGTCTGTCCACATTGATGACCCCTGTATGTAATTGTGTGTTATATACTACCACCTACTGGCACAATAATGGTACTGCATTCACTTTCATTTCAGGACCAAAGAAAAACTTAAATCTTCAAATTAAGTGATCCTACATGTTGAGTTTAAAGTAAGCAGGCAGAGGTCCAAGTGAAATTTTTTTGATATAACAGATTATTACCCTCTACTGTACCATCTCAACTTCCTAAAAAGGCACAAATCAGCTTTGCACAGTATGAAAAGGAGTCTTCGGTTTCTTTCACATTTACAAACAAAGAAATAGCTTAATTGAGAAACAAAAAAAACAGAATTCCTTTTGAAAAGGTTCCCTCAGACAGGTAAAGAAATTGAAGCAAGTTTGAGGATGATGAGACTCTGTACTACATCTGGTCAAAATGTCTTTGAATGAGACTGGTTCAACACATTGCATTTTGAATGGTGCAGAAAGTAAATAAGTGCAACAATAACACTGTCTTCACGTAGTGGGGGGTTATTTGTCTAGTGCCCTTCTACTGCCGTCTTTGTGTCAAAAGTGACTCCGGTGCTTTTTCTGAAAAAAAGACAAGAAGAGGGAAGATTATGTCATTTATACTGTATTCAAATTGTATTTGTTCATGTGCAGCAAATCTTGAGATCTTACATTTCTTGTGAACAGTGCCGTTATGAAAAGTAGACCTCAGAGCACTTTTTGACTTTTTAAAAACTCCATTCCATGCATACATAACAGAATCAATAAGGTCCCTCATAATGTCTAGTAAGGCTAATTTACTCCGTGATGAAGACGCTATGCACACGTTTCTGAGCACGTGATGCATAGCATGAGTTTAATCCAATCATGCCGTGCAGCCAAACCTGCCATCTCAACCAAAACGTGGGAGGGTTATTCATTCAAAGAACTGCAGGTGGCACCAGATACATTGCAGGTTTAGAGAATGGGGGCAAAGAAAACCAGAAATCTAAGATAGTCCTGAAGGTGCAGACAGCCAGCAAACAGAAAGACTGACAGAGTGACAGAGTGACACAGGTGCAGCAGCAACACAAAGCCAAACACAGACTCGGTGAGCAGCAGCACAGAGGAGGGGGATGCAGGCTGCAGGGCTGACAGGGAACTCACCTGGACTTTACATAGGGAGGCGGGTCATAGGGGCGTCTTTGACAGGGTCCTCACAGGGAGCTGCTGATGGTGGGGAAGGTGGGGGGCGGACGCAGCGTAACAGCTAATCTCGTTTTAGCCGTGGTCTCAGACCAACAAAATCTTACACTAAATTGGACTGCATGAAATTTCAAAAAGACATATTTGGTTTTAAACCAAATATTTCTCATAGACCAATACAGCTGTAATGAGGTTTTTAAGCTGGTGTAGTACGCTGAATATGTTTTAGTACAAATAAAATAATAAACAGAATTTGCCACAGAAAGTATGTGACCTAGCATGATAATTAAAGGGGACAAAACTGTCAAAAACACCATGACATTTGGACACACTTGTATATGTGTATATACAGTCCAACCATACAAAGACCAATGCAACACTAAGTACATCGATCACATCACTGCATGGCCACGACAAGCCCACTGCAAACCCTACATTCTGTGACACACTAGCGTGAAATGTTTGGCGGAGAAGAACTGGCTTCTGTGTTGCACTGCAAAACCCTTCAGAGCAGCTTCTGTGCAAATAACACTTCTCCGCCTTCTCATACAATCATTATTTCCACTAATGAACCTTCTGTACTTTGTTGTGAAGTGCTTTAAATGTTCCTATAGGGCAATGCTCAGAGTGGAAAGGGGAGACAGAGGGCAGCAGCTTAAAGAAGGAGAATACACAGAGGGAAATACCGCAGGAGACTAATTTGCCAACAGAGTCTGCCAAATCCCAGAAACCTAATCTCTAAAATAAGATTTAATCTTGTAAAATCTAAAATACCAAGACATGAACACATCCAGTTTTATATTTCATACTGCTCTAACAACGGGGAGGAATTTGGGAAAACCTCTTAAGCAAGCAATTCTTGAGAGTTAGAGTTTTAATATGTCACTGTTCGTGTCATCATTGGATGGGGATACGGCGAGACTCTGGCAGGTACTTTATGTCTCCATTAGCTTCAGAGAACAAGGAACTGCAGCCCGATGCTAAACAGGGGAGACGGGAGCTGGGTGATTGGTGGAGTGGGAGGGGCCTAAATACAAATTTGTATGGTGAAGATGGTACCTGACACCCTGCAGTGCTTCGAGGTCCGTAGAGAGCTTTGCACTGCGATCCTGTTCCTCCTGCAGCTGCCTCCGGAGCATACGCAGCTCCTGCTGGGCCTCCACCTTGATGTCATTTGCCACCACCACTGCCGTCTGGAGGTCTGCCTGGAACCTACGCCACTCTTCTTTTTCGTCCTAAAGTAACAAGCGTATGGATATCTATGTTTAACATACTGGAAGAAGCAAGTAAAGACCCGCTAATCCACACAGACAGGAGGAATTGTTTGAGTATTCTTTGGATTTAACTGGACGCGATTTTCTAGGATTTCACTGAGTAGGTAAAAAGGAAAAAAAATATCCAAACCAGATTTCAGGAACCTTTAGAATTGCTTAAATTTAAACAGGGAAATAAAATGTAGGCCTATATTCAGTGTTGTTCAGGCAAACATCTACTGTTCAGTAAAATACAGTTTACAACCTTTTGAAAACGACATCCAGCCGTAACAATGATCAGGTTTAACATGTGGGAAAATCTTTCTGCTCCTCAAGCTCTTTAACAAAATTAACCAATTTTTGTGTATAGCTCAAAGTACAAAAAACCCAGGCATAACAAACAAGCAATACTACAACAGCTTAAAGCCATAACTAACAATAAGTTGTTTTTGTTATGACTTTAAGCTGTACGTTTGTATCTTCTAGTGATAAAGATAAAAGAGAAGACTACACAGTTATAAAGATGGGACAGCAGGAAACTTCATAATGTTTATTGTAAGGAACAAAAAAGAAGTTTGTATGTATAATGTAAAAAAAAAAACCTGCAGGCGGTCTCAACAGCCTACATGGACGCTACAGGAATACCAATCGCAGGACAGATGATGCCACGGTTAAACATTTTGGCAAAACGACAAGAAGGTAACTGAGCACTAGAACATCATCTTGCTCTTAAAAGATTGCAAAAATACTAATTTCCCTGATAAAGAACCAGTCGAAAGTTTGGACACACTTTCTTATTCTGAAAAGGTGTGTCTAAACTATCTTTAAAAACCACCTTAACCATTTCCAACCAAAAATTGTAATTTCAATTCAAACAAACACATGGGTTTTCATATCGAAGACTCCTACCTTTATCTGCCTGCTCAAGACTTTCAGTTGTCGGTCTGCTTCGCCTTTCTGCTCCTCCAGCTTTTTGACGAGATCTGCAATGAGAAGTTATTCAAAGTGTTTCAAGGGACATCGTACTGTAGATTCAGGGCAGAATCACAGCAATCAAAACCAAACTATCAGTCGAGCTTTAACAAATATGCTCCCATAAAGGTAAGTTACATCTGGACATATTCGACCACTCTAGAAGTCTATATAGAAACCACTGCAGACCCATCTGTATTAATGTCTCCTAGTTGGAGCAGAGTGCAGTCATTTAAGGCCGTTTCTCACTCAGCTGGGGACAGCAAGGTTTGTCATCAGGGACACACGGCTGAAACCAACGCATCCAACACAGTAGCCCTTGAATAAACCAAACCTCCATGAATAATATCGGCAGTGAGAGGAACATACTCTCCATGTCCAGGACGGCTTGGTTGGTGTGGCAGTTGACGGCCCTCTGCTGCTCCACCTGGTCCTCCAGCTCAAAAATGGTCTCCTTCAGCTCCTTCACCTGGTTCTCAGCCTGGATCCCGGCCTCCTCTACCGAAGACACCCGGCTGCTGAGCTCCTGCTCCCTCATCTCAGCCCGCTCCTGCAGCTGATGGCATTTGGTCTCCACCTGCGCGTGCGTATTTGTGAGAGGATCGTGGGTTCAAGAACAGAAATGGAGGAAAAGAAAAAGGGGCAACGTGTCACGTGAATGTCATGGCCGGCCGTCATTAGATGGAAGCGTTCAAGTCACATTTGGCTCAATAAAATGTCATTTTATGACCTTCCCGACATCACTCTGGTGCAGGGATCACATTTCCTTTTGGCGTTTTCTTACATTCATGTCTTTCCAATCATTAGATAAAAGATGAGCTCGACAAATATGAAGCAGCATCTGACTTTTTTATGGCTGGATGAAAATGAGAAGCCGTATGTGTGGGGGAGCCACTGACCAACACGTAATTAAAGCTGGCTTCAATGTGTCGAGGTCTGGTACCGTTTGAAGGCTGATGGTGCAATTAGAAAAAAGTCAGTAAGTCAAGTAAGTCCATTATGCAAGTCTGATCTAAATTGTGTGCTTATTCTGTGGGGGGTTTCATGGTCTCTATTCTACAAGAACTCTAAATACAATGCACTTATTGTGTGTCAGCAAGTTATAGAACATTACTTAAAGGGGGTTCTTTTTGCCAGCAATGTGTTTTAATCGGCCTCAACGCTTCCTTTTTTCACCTACTGAAAAGACTCCCTGGAACCTGGGCTTTTTTTCTGTTAATTTCTTTATGAATGACTAGTGAATCTGCTGGACTCAATCAAGCTTCACCTGCTGGCTATAAATAGTCTGCTCCCCTGGCAGTTCACCTTTTTCCACTCCCTGCCAGTACTCCAGCGTATCCTGAAGTGTGCGTATTCAAGTTAACGTGAGTGGTCAATTCAATTTATCCTTTTGATTGTTTAATTTGTATGCCTTTGTGATGCCTTTTTGTGACATGTGCCATGTTGACCAATTCCTTCGTTCTCAGACATGTGCCAGGAGCCATGAAGGATTGCTTGTTGTTTGATTGACCACTCAGTTATTTAATTTAATTGTATCTTTGTTTATGTTTTTGATGCAGCACACAGGATAAATATCATGCTTACAAAAAGGAAATAAACTACTGGTGTTACATCCAACCTGCCTTGCATCATTTTCTCACTCCACTCTTTGCCGTTCGGGTCTTCTGACAGAGACTGTCTGCTCACCCAACATTCACTCCCCACAAACCACATCACCCCTACAGGTCCTTCACCTACCAAGTTAGATCTTCCCCAGTCGATCTGATGAAAAGAAACTTTTTAAAATCAAGCAGTAAAGTAAAAGTAACCACAGTGATTCTGATTACCCTCATGCATCGTATTCTTTTCGCATAGGCTGGTGCAGCATCCACATCGGTCACTCAAGTAAAGCAGATTTTCAAATATGATAAAAGCTGCATATAAATAAGGGTAAATGTAACCTGTTTTGCTGTTAACCGAGAGCTTAACTATGTCTGACTACGAGTGTTTGGGCACAATACTAACAAGCAAGGTGACAGTCATGGAAATATGGATTCAGGCTGGATCAGATCCGACCGCTTCAATGTGTTCATTGCGTCAACTATTGAATTACGTACCAGCTGAAGTCAGTGTTCCATGATGCTCGCTGTCACCCAGAAAGCACAATGTACTAGAATAAGTCATGTAGTTGAGCAGGACTGCGTCCCTCTCACCACGTGGCTCTAATGGATCAGGATGATGTGTGGAACGGCCTCACGCCCATGTGGCAGAGGACAGGAGCGTGACTCAGGAGGACCACATACTGGTGGCCGTCCCTCGGGTCGGCACTGCAGTTACAGTCCAACAATGACAACATCCCTGAGATGACGGCAACACGCCCAAATCTGGAATCCACAACCCCCGAAATTAACTTACACGGCCCGAGCCGTTCTGTTGTTGAAGGGGAAAACCAAAGTGACTCCCGAGGATCATTTGAAAACTATTTGAGTGAACATGACTTTGTGTGGTGAAGTGATAAAAAAAGGACTGCAAGTCTGAAACACTGTGGAAAATCGGTGTGTGTGTGTGTGTGTGGGTCTGCCAAAAATGATCAAAAACATTCATGTTTGCCCTTTTGACCCCTTTTTTTAATCCATTAGCAAGTAATAAACATATCGCAGATGCATTCTGTTCACTTTGAAAACTATTCCTGAAAATAAACGCTTTGCCAACAGAGAATCTGAACTAAAAGTAATGAACTGCTTCTGGACGAGTGAACCTTCACTTTCTCCAATGTTACAGTCAATATGGAGAGATTGTTGTTTCGGGAACAAATACAAGACTAATTCGATTACTAACATAATACTTTTTTTAATAGGGAGTCCCACACAGAATAATTCCATCCCCAGTTTTCACATCCAGCCCTTAGCACAACACAAGCAACCAAGCAAAAAACATTGTGAAGAGACCAACAGAGTCTAGTTTTGAAAGGGTTCATTTGAAGCTTTGTTGACATTAGTCTCAAAAAAATGTTCTATTCAGGGAAAAATAATAATTCCCTTTTCACACCGTGACTGAATTCTGTGAGTAACTGTGAATTAGAGTAATATCTACCATTACTGCACTGTGTGTTGCCTCCTACCTTGGACATGGTGGAGCGCACTTGCTCAGTGTCGGCCTGGGCCTGTAGCAGCTCCTGCCTGAGCTCCGTCAGCTCCACCTCCAGCCGGTCTCTCTCAGCGTGCGCAGTTTTCAGCAAATTCTGCACCTCAGTGCCGTCACTGGCGCTCTGCATGGCCTTCAGCTCACCAACCTTTTGCCTCTCCATGTCCACCTGCACCTTCAGCCTGCCGTTTTCCAGCCTGAGACCATCTGCTGCCGCTCTGTGCTCCTTGGCAGCCTTTGCTGACTGACCTCCGGCCTCCAACGCTTTGTCCAGCTGGGCCTGCAGCCTGCCCACCTCCTCTCTGAGGCAGCGCGCCTGGCCCTGGGCCTCCTGGTTCTCCTCCTCCAGAGCCCGTAAGCTGCCCGTCAGCTGCTGCTGGATGTCCACCAGCTTTTCCCGCTCGAAGCGCGAGCTCTCAACCTGCTCGGCATACCTTTGCTCCAGCTCAGCCAGCCGAGGCCCTTGACTTCCCAGCTCCTCGTCCCTTTGGACCTGAGCCTGCGCCTGCTCCTGCAGTCGACCAGCAAGCGCCTCGTTCTTCTGGGCCAGCATCTCCAGGCGCTCCCTCTGCTGTTGAAGGGAGGTCTGCAGGAGGCGCTTCTCCTCGGCCAGGCGCTCGTTCTCAGCCGTCAGCTCCTGCACCACTTGCTGCTGGTCGGCCAGCTCCTGCAGAGTCGCCTGCAGCTCCTCGGCCATACTGTGGTGGCTCTCCTCCATCTTGTTAATCTTTTCCTTCAGGCTCTCCACTGACGCGTGCGCCCCCCCCGCATTGGTTACTGCAACGACTTCTTCACTGACACCGCTGCACACAGACTCTGAACAAGATGGGATCTTCTCAAACTCTGAGGAGTCGGGTGATGGGGAGTCCTTGGTGATGTCAGAGCTGGAAGAGACGGAGGGTTTGAGAGGTCTGGCAGCACACGGAAGACTGTCCTGCGGCGTTGAGTTGGATTCTGAGTGCAGGCCATTCACCAAAGGCTTGGAAGGGCTGCTTGAGTTTGTACTGGAGAGAGGGGAGGCCTCCAAGCAGAGCAGCTTTTGCTTCAGTGCCTGGTTTTCCTCCCGAAGTGCCGCCAGCTCTCTCTGAAACTTCCCGTTCTTCTCTCTCAGCTCCCCAACCAGTGCCAGGCCCTCCGCCGCCTGTCCCTGCTCTCCAACTTCAGCGGGCTTTTCCCACGAAACAGAGTTGGAGGCTTTGCCTTTGCAACACTTCAACTCCGTCCTGAGATTACTGATCTCCAAGTCTTTGGACTTCGCCTCAGCCAGCAGCTCTTTCACCTGGCTCTCCAGAAGGCCCCTCTCCTGGCCCTCTGCATCTCCCCGGGACTTGGTTGAACTGCGTGTCGGCTTTGCCAGGGTGGAAAGGCTGGAGGTGCTGGCACTCGAGACCATCTTCTTAGTGGTGGAGCTCCGAAGCTGGTCCCTCAGAGAGATGCGGTCTCTCGTTATGGATACAGGGATCTCTCGAGGAGCCGGGATACCAGACTTCTTGGCTGCATGTACACCTGCAGACAAAACGGGTACAAATGAAATCGTGTTCCAGCACCTCAGAGATCAAATCCCCTTTTGCCGTAGACCAGAAGCAAAGCAGACGGCAGAGTGTTCTAATTTTAAAAATATGAACATGGGAGAAAATGGGTTTTTATTCCTATTTCAGCTACACAGACACTTTATTGACTAATACAATACTGTCAATACATCCCTTTCAAGTTCAAATCTTGAAACATTATCAATACATTTAAATAACTATAACCTACATTCACAAATTTGCAATAGATATGTGTAATCTTGTTTAAATGAAAAAGGGAAGTATCGCTACAATCCCTGCAAACTCTACAAAAACAAAGTAATCAATAACATTACATGGTTTTAGATTTAGATAATCTAATGTTGATTCACCTGGACTGCAATATTGGCAGCACTGACTGGACAAGGGTTCCAGTTCACAGTCAGGAAATGGTAAAGTTTAGAAAATAAAACATTTCTCAGTAGAATTGCAACGCAGCACGCTTGCCCTTCAGAAGAGAAGGTCAATGGAATCAGGGTGCAGACATGCTGGGACCGTGGGTTTGTTAACAACGCGTAATGACACTGTTGGATGAGTTCAATGGACAGCGAGTCACATTCAGATGCCTGCATCATTCAGCGGTTTTATGTCGCTGGTCCCTGTACCCTAGTCACATATTGTCCTCTGCTCGGACAACAGAGCATCTGCCTGCCACTGTGCGCCTGTCGTCATTCATCGCTGCAGCACAGCTCCACTGTGGCATTTCAGAAGTCATCAGCCTTTTTCCAGACCCCTCTCAGATATGAAGAGCATTTATTCAGCGTGAGCACGGTGCCGCCCGACAACGGTTTATTGTTTATTTTCCAAACATCAGCGCGAATGGCGACGCGGACACAAGGGGGCTGCTTGTTTTCAAAGGATGACAAAGGTCCCTGTGCACGTGCACTCGGTTTCAGCCGTGCTCAGACAGAGTGGCCCTGTGTGGCTCTCACACGCATACATTATCCTCCTCATCAACAAACCCACTGAGCAGAGGCTAGACAGGCTGTGACACATCGACCATAGCAGCGTGCACACACAAACACGCAAAACCCAAAATCCACAAACAAATGGCCTAGTTTGGGATGGAAATCCCTGTGGGTTCTTTAAGCACATTGATGGGCACTTTGTAGCAACTCATTGAATTAACAGGCAACTGTGGCAGAAGCTGCCAACGCTGGCACAAACACTGGGGTTCAAAGCTGTTTAGCATTCTCAGAGTGTGCAGCTGAGGTTAAAAAAAGTTATGCGGGCTTGCTGGTGATAATTGTTGAGTAGACAATAGAGGGTGAGATTTTAAGTAAAAACAGACACTGTAGAAATGAAGAGTGGCAGAATAAGCCTCAGGTCCGTCAGTTCTGGATGTCAGTGGGATCAGGCACTCTTTGAAAAATAATAGCTTTCATGTAAAGTTCACATTAACAAATGCGGCACTTCATCCCGATCACTTTGATGAACTTGCTGCACTGACAGAGATCCAGTGTGCCACTCAAAACTCCACTTCAGAGGAGGATGGAGCTGTGACTGACAGACATTACGTACCGCCACATGGGAGATGTTAAGACTAGATAAATTACTATTTACCAGAAGGCTTCATTCAGACGGGGCAGAAAAAGAATGACACACCTTTCCCTTTCAGCCATTTCATGGTCATATACAGATTGGACGTGGCAATAAATACGGGGACGTCAGGGCCTTGTTGGGGGGAGAGAGCTGTTAGATGGGATTAAGATCAGTCCGATCAGGTTGGATTCCTTCATATTCGGTTTTCCTCTAAAGCTTTTAGTGAACAAAGCCCAGATGGAGCACATGAACTCACTCATCTGATGTGGATCGTCCACGTCTTTAACAGTGACATCATCACAGCGGCTTGGTGTGCACACAGAACTGACAACACACACTAGATGCCAGGAGTCCGCACAGGCTGAAGTATCCTGGAGAGAAAGAAACCGCTGCTCGAGTACAAGCCGATAGTCAGAGGATCTCTATTTCTGGGAATATAACCCTAAAATAAAGATCAGAAAAAGATCAACAGTTGGCTATGAAAACAATGGTAAAAAATGATGATATTTTCTAATGCTAAAATTGGCCGTCCGTGCTGACTGAACGAGTGCATCTGGTCGATCCAAAAATGGCACCTCAGTTCAACAATCTCTTTCCAGGACCAACACAGCAACTGGATGTTTATTATTTCAATTTTTACATCCCCACATTGCCAGACAGAGTCAATAACAAAGGAACGTCTCTGACATCACACCACAAGACGTCTCTTGAATGCATTTGACAACCATCAGCATCATCTAAAATAAAAAGGTGACAAAGATTGGATGAATTGAGGCGGAGACGTCCCTGAAAAGAGGCAATTAACCTCCAATTGCTCCAGCTGAGATTAATGGTGGAAGAAATGCAGAGAGGGATTTCCAAATGAAATGTCCGCCCCATCATAAAGCTCACACACATCACATTAGTGCTGTTCAGCCAGGTCAGTTTAATGTGGTGAAATCTGTACACTGTTTGGTGCTCAAGAGGCCACAATAACTACATCTCTCTACGGTCCTCACAGAAAAAGACGTCTAGGGCACAAATCTTTCTTTTACAATTCAAAACAAAAATATCCAAGAGCAAGGTGGTTGAAGAGTTAGCTTTGTTGTACTTTAGTGCAGTTTTTGATGCAGGTCGGCTCAGTTCCAGGAACATCAATGGCCAGCTCCGAGAAGCACTAAATCTACGAGATTGAGCGGAGTGGGCAGTTAACTGGCTCACAGCTTCTCTTCATACAGCAAGGAATAAATCCTCAAGCAGTGGACGGTGTCTAGCTCCAAAGAGCAAATGCAGTCAATCACCGGTTTTGGAGGAAAAGGAAATCTTTTATATTCAATATCTTAGGAACAGTTTCAGATACACTAATAATAGTATGTTTAAAAGCCTAAATAAAGGTCATCGTTTATATAGAAGTCACCTTTGACCACTCAAATCTAATCCGTCAGACCTCGAATCCAAGTGGACGTGTGTTTAAAATTTGACCTAGATACATCACATGTATAACATGACCACCAAAAACTAAAATCAGTTCATCCTCGAATGGACGTTTTATGCCAAATCTGAAGAAAGAGACTGATGGACGAAAGAGACGACGCCACCAGCCAAAGATGTCTCCGGCTCGGACGAATACCAAAACCTGATGGAAGAGAGAGACTAGGGACTTATTCTGTTGTTTACATTTAATCTAAAGTATTTGCACAAACTGACTTCCAATACTCCAACTAGTCAGTTATTCCCAGGGAAGTTGTTTCCCTGATCACAGTAATGCACTCTACTGGTTTCTGTCTAATGAAGATAAGCTTTCAAATCACGGCCGGGGCCGTGTGGCTGGACGCGGTCCAGCACCGTGCCGGTTAACAGCAGCCAGTCTCCCTGCCAGAGTACAGAGTGACAGAGTACATTGTGAGCAGAGTGCACAGAGTCTTCAATTTAGAGAACAGTGGGCTCACGGGGGAGGAGTCGTCGCGGCCGCCGCCGTCGTGAATTAATGGTCAAGTGTCAGAGAGTTGGCACCTGAAATGACGCACTGCTTCGTCATCCTCACAAACAAAGCCGTGGAACGGGAATGTCTCGCCGCCTTTCCTTTGCCATTCCTTCAGTGTTCCAGGAAATGTTGTGTGAGGTTTTTTCAGTCAGGTGGAAATGGAAAGAGACAAAACAGCGCGCGTGTGTGTGTTTCTGGCCTTCCTGTTGTCAAACTGCCAGGGCATGAAAAAGGTCAACAGGCGCCCACGGGTCAGACACCGGGACTCGGAGGCATTCCTTTCCTCTTACTGGCCGTCACAGTGACTGAGCAGACATTAGACGGCACGGTAAGCTGCATGAAAACCTCACGGTACAGCACAGGGAACCATGACAACACTTGTTGAGGATACAAATGTGTTCATTATAACATCTTCAAACCCAAAGTACACAAGTTGGAATAATATGTTTTGTAATAGAGATAAACATGGCGTGATTACAGGAATGTTTTATCCGGTGTCGCACAATATTTCCTAAAACACTGTTTAAATCTCTGACTCTGCTTTGTTCCTAGGAGAGGACATCCTATGCAAAAGTGATAAATAAAGCAAACAGGACAATCAGATTTCTTTCTAGGAGCAGTGTTTGCACTTGTCGGCTGTGAAAACCAGATATTCTCAACTACATGATGAAGCGGCGCAGATTTACTGACTGTTTGCAGCAGAGTTTAAAAAGACTGATGTGAGTTCATCCAAAAATAACATTTACATTTGGCTAAATGTTTAAGCGCATTCCTAAAATGGTGAATTTTACACCCATTAAATCCACTAGGTTTTATTTTGTCAACTGGACCACCGATATTTTGGCTAGTTTTAGAATATTTTTCTAACTGCAAAAGATATTTGTAATCTGCATATCGAAGTTGCTACAGTACGATATGATCAGCAGGCTCAGTCCAAACGCTTCAGTATAACCAAGTGCATGAGGGCAAAACATAAGATGGAAATAAATAATATCTGTTAATAACAAGACGAACAGTATTTGTGGGAAGTGTGTTAGTGTGATGGGAGTCAGAGGAAAGTCTGCTCTTTCAGTAGCTGATGTGCAGGACACACGAGGAGATGAAGATAAATGCTCATTAGCAGAGTTCATGGGACAATAATATAGCAGAAAATAACAAAACTTGAAAAATCAAAAAGGAATATCATGAAGAGGAAAGAGGAAAGGCTTAAGAAATTATTAAGCATTGACTGGTTCATGTCAATACCATGCCTCTCCAGTCAGCAGGTGGCACGTTAATTGTGCTTACAACTGATCAGGCAAACCCCTCACCCTGCTTTTATGAATAGAGACATCACAGGTTTAATCTGAGGGGTTTCTTTCCTGCCTGAGAAGTGAACAGCTCTGTGCTTCCGCTGCGGCACAGCGTGAAGGCGCAGCAAGAGACCTGGCAAG